TGGTAGGGACCATGTAGTCAAGATCATGTAGTCTACCTCACAGGAAGAAAAAGTGGTTTCTAAAGCTCAGATAGTCACAAGCTGAAACACAGGAAATTCTATTTCTCTTGTTCTACCAGTGGGCACTGCTAAAGAGAAGATGGCTCCTTACCTAAAGCTATATAGCACCAACAGAATACCTGTTACATCCTGTGAGATGAGTTAATATTTCCAGAGAGAATCTCACTGCCTATTATAGAATGTAGAACTGTAGTTCTGTAACAAACATAAATATCAGTTCATAATGGATAGTATACAACAGGTTTTGACCATTAAAAAAAAAAAAATCTACAAACCACTTCCATGCCAGTAAAGTCCAACAGTAAACCAAACTAACCTGAGCATGGACCTAGATACAAGCTCTACAATGCAATAGTCCACACTTTTTAATTAGAATATTAGAATCACACTCCCCTGAATGACCTGGACAGCTACCACTCCTCCAGGTATTCTGAGGACAGTTCAGGGAACAGCATCAAACTGTTTTCAATATGCACTTTGAGTGAGACTCCTTGAAGCTCACATATGGCATCTAAATGGCTTAGTGTAAGGCACACTCTGTCTCTTGCCTTGCAGGGACAGATTGGCATGGTCCACTTTACTTATCAGCATAGACAGACTCTTTCTAAACATATTTCATAAGTCAAGGAAGGTCAGAGTTGCATTAATTATAGATTGCTGTGATTACTTACAATTAACATCTGAAACCTGCTGAAATCAAATGGGAATGGACACTGCCACTTACTCCTAAGTAAACCGGACCTTGAATGAGAAATTGTCCTACTGACTTCAGTGTGGGCCTGGGATTTAGCTGATGATTAGCAACTAAGATTATTTTTCCTCTAAGACCTTTGAATTTAAATGAAAATACTTATGGCATACAAGTTTCTTTGTGACAAGTAATCTCCACGCATGTAGTTGAAGTCTGCTGGGCACACTTATGAAAGGCAGAGGTGTCAGCCCCACTCCTCCCATTTCTGGTGGCTATCAAGGTCAGCAAGAGCCTTAACATAGATGCTGTAATAATACTGATAGTTCAGAGAAACACCCTTATCTCCTCTGCAGAGGAAATCTGCTTGCATTTGCAGGGTTTGCTGAGTTATGTTTCTTGATCCATTTACTGGGAAATGCTATTCAGCATAGACAAGGCCTGAATTCAAACAGAAAAATAAAAGGGATTTGTATTTCTCATAAGAAAAACAAGGTTCTTTCCTCAAATGTACTGTTTCTCCTTAAGATTGAAAGATCTTCATCACACATGTGCTGCGGCATGTTGTTCTTTCCAGATATGGGATTTTGCTGGGAAGTTGTGACACACAGTTTGTGGGAGCACTTGCCAGCTGAGCAATGCTTTCCCTAGTGCTCACCACACTCCTTAAACAGGCACGCTAATTATGTTACAGGCTGTCTGTATGGAGCTACATGAGACTACAGTATTTTCCCAGGAACCACAGCAAGGAAGTCAGCATGTGCCTTCAGTTGTGTTAGCTGTATATCTGCTGTGAACAGAATTTCTCTTGACAAATAATGACGACATCATTAAACATTCACCCTAGAGGTGTTTCAGGTGCTCATGAGTGCTCATACTTTCAGGTTGTCACTGAATGCTTCTTTCAGTACCAAGGAGTTACTGTGGAAGTGTTCTTATTTAAATAAGAAAAATACAAGGCATTGATAAAAAGAAGTGTTTTTAATGCCATATACAATTAACCTGGTACAGCACAAATAGCTGGCCTCCAGCTCTACTTAATGTCACCAATCACAGGCCTTTGAGCCCATAGCTCAGTCAGTTTTCAATCCACTTCAATGTCCTTTTAGCTAGTTCACACCTCATCAGTTTGCCTCCAAAAATGTTATTTGAAATATGTCAAAAGCCTAAGTAAAAATAAACAAGATCCATTGCTTTTTCCTCATCCACTCCAACAAGTAATTTCATCTTAGAAAGTGAGCTGAGCATGATTTTATTATCATAAATTCATGCCAACTAGCTTCAGTCTTTCTTGTCCTTCATTCATTTGAAAATGACTTCCATGATTATTTGCTCCACCACCTTCTCAGGCACTGAAATGAAGTTGACTAGCCCAGATCTTCCCTCCTTCTCGCTCTTCTCAAAGACATGACTGATATTTGCTTTTTCTAGTCCTCAGGACTTACCTTCCCAATCTGATCCTGCTCTTATGAGGGTGTCTTCATTATTCCTGATTTTCTGATGAGTCTCAGGGACCTGGGAATCCTGAGATAAATCTTACCAGGGAAGACCAAGGTGGAGATGCCAATGCGTACCTCAGCCTCTTCCACATCCTTTGTTACCAGGCCAGATTTGTGAGGTAATTTATACTATTACATACAGCAGTATTTACATTACAAGGGGGAAAACCACAAGTTCAACAATCTTAGCTGATAATAGGCTTTAGACACAGTAGTAACTATTTGCATTATAATGATCACTTTTTCCTCTTCTCAAAAAGACCAAGTTTAGAAAACTTTTAGAAGATCTACAAATCTACATTGGCATTTTCAGCTGCAGTGGCTGAGCAGTTCCCTTCTGAGTGCCTTGTTCCATCTCCTTTTAAATATAAATATAAAACAATGAAGTAGAGAAAAAAAGAACTCTGAAGGAAAGTAACAAATCATTTACATATCCTAAATTTGAAATCAGTGATGGCTCATTTGCACTTGAAGACTAAACTGTATCCAGCCTGGATGAACAGCTTTTTTTTCCATAGCAGAAAGAGATAATATGGGATCACTTGTGGCAGGTGTATGGCAGCAATATAAAGAGGAATAAAAAAGAGGTGATCTTCATTTCTGGCTATGATATTTATGTGATTATTGATCATGTCCCCTCTAATGTCCATACTTCAGAAAGGACAATGAAAAAACTAGAGGTGGTTCAACAAGAAAACATAACTTTGTTTACAGAAAATATATATTGAAGTAAGAAGCTATGGAATTTCAAACTTTGTAAACTTTAAAGAACTCTCAAGCCGATCTGAGACACCTGACTAGTCTGTTGGTATGTGCACATGGGGAATTAATGAACATTAGCAGATACTGTGATCTGCAGGAAAACAGCACTGTGAGTTCTGTGAGTGGAGACTAAAGTACTAGAAATTGTAAACAGCATCAGACATGCATTTTCTGTGGCTTACACATACTACTGCTAGCCCCTATCTCCTACTCTTCAAAACAGTGCTGACCTTTTGAATTCACAGTGCAATGCAGTGGCTTCTTTCTTTCTTCTCAGCATCACATGCCTGCCATGAGGGCAAATGGACGACCTGGTGCCAGGCACAGACAGATTGCATTTGTTTTTTTCCATTCTCAGTCCTCTGCTACAGACATGCCACTTCCACAGGACCCATTCTCATAGTACTCTTATTACTTAACAGTAAATAGTGGCACATATGTCTCTCTGAAAAATACGTTTTAGTAGTTCCTTTATATTGTGGAGAAAACACCAAATGAATGACCCCTGTTATGCAGATCAAACAAATTATAGTCATTTTCTTGAATATCTACATGGGAAATATCCACAACAGCAAGGCTCTCCTGGAACATCATCTGGACTTCCAAAATCCTAGATTCAAGGCCTCTCCACCTGGACAATCAAAACTGCAAACACTCAAATACTCTGCCTTCTGTGTAAAGCCCCGGGCTCGTGCTTGGTCATATTAGATCATGTGGGACACTCAGGCAAAGAGATGTAAAAGAGCTCTGTGTGAGGCAGGGTGTTGACCAGAAGTATGCAACTTTCAGATAAAGGAGAGAGTGCTACCTCCTCCTGCAATGTGTCTGAGTAAGTGTCCCAGGCTTCGGTTGCCAGTCACTAAAAATGCTTGCTCATGTGTCTTCCAAAGTCCAAATCTTACAACCCACTGACTTCATAATTAAATAGACTTTAAGGCTTAAGACTCCTGTGGAAGTCATTTCATGTGGTATCGGGTTACCCTGCACTGATCCTTCTGGCAGCAGATGTAGATGGACTCAGCTTGTGCAGTCCTGCTGCTCTGAGTGGTTTTTGACTTGTGTGTTAAACTATGGCTAGCACCATTGAAACTGGAGGAAATAGGCACAAATCAGGCTCCTGTATGCTGGGGCGAAAAAAAAAAAACCACCAAAAAACAAACAAGCCACCCCCCAAAAAACCAAACAACACCAAAAAACCCCACCCAAACACAAAAACTCCCTGTTGCTTCTCTAAGTGCAGTGAAGCAGGAAATTCCTGAGGCAGCTGCAGGTGGCTGGTGCTCTGACCACTCTCCTATGACCAACCAGCTGCACATTTCTCAACGTCTCTAACGCCAAACCCACACTCTGGCTCTGTGCTGTGCTCTGCAGTGCCATGGGCAGCCCAGCTCTGCCTCAGCAGTACCGGATACCGGGCAGGGACGGGGCCGGGTTTGGGCTCGGAGCGGAGCACCCCGGCAAGTGGGATTCCCATGACAGCCCAGCTATACCAAGTGGTGTCTTTTTTATTTGGCTGGAGGGACAGCATTTTGGGCCGCGCTGCAGCAGCCGTAACAGCGTTGGGGAACGCCGCAAACCCCTTCTCGGGGCGGTGGAAGGTAGAGGGAGGCAGGCCAAGATGTCCGTTCAGCCCCGCAGCGGCCGCCCGGCACGGCCGGGCTCCCGCACCCGGTACCCGCGGCGGCGGGGCCCGCTCGGTCACATGGAGGCGCCATTTCCTCTGCCCTTGCTTTGCCCTTAAAGCCGCCGCGGTGCCGCCGGCGCCTCGCCCCGCACGGGGCGGTTGCGGACGGGCGACGCGTCCCCGTCTGCCCCCACCGCACACTGCCCTGCGGAGAGGCGGGGGTAGCCGCGGCGGGGGCCGGGGCAGAGGCTCAGCTAAAACCAGCCCTCGCCTAATAAAGCGATGGGGCCCGGTGCCCGCGCCCTATAAATACGCGCGGTGCGCGGCCAGCGGGCTTTGGCCGGCGCGGCTCGGCTCGGCTCTGCAGGCGGGGCGGTGCAGTCAGCACAGCAGGGCCGCCGCTGCCGCCGCCTCCGCTGCCAGGACAGCCCCGGCCCCCGCACCCCGGCACCCCAGCGAGATGCCCCGAGTAGACGCAGACCTCAAACTGGACTTTAAAGATGTCCTGGTCAGACCTAAAAGGAGCAGCCTCAAAAGCAGAGCAGAGGTGGGGGCATCCAAACCTAGCATGCTTTTCCTCCCCCTTCTCAACGCTTAACTTCCTTAACCCGCCTTTCCCCCCGCTTTATTTTTATTACCCGGTCTAGCGCAGCAATGCCCTCCCCGATCGCGACGCCCTTTGCGTGGCGGGGGGATGCCGCTGCTCCCGGGAGGGGAGGACGGGGCCGCGTTTGCGAAGTCCGCGGCGTGTCCCCCCCCACGACTCCAAGGGAGCCGGGGGTAGCCGGTGCCGTGCTGGCCTCCCTCGCTCCTCAAGCTGAAATACAAGGGGGCAGTGGGGGGTTGCTTGCTCCTAACAGGTGCCTCTGCGGCGCTGAGCGGGGCCTGACCGCCGGTGTCGGAGGGGGCGGTGGAGGCGAACCAGCAGCGCTGCGGGACGGGGGTGTCTGGTTACCCTCCCCGCAGCTTGGGCCGGCAGAAGCCGGTGGTGACACCTGCAGGCAGCATTGCCCTCAGCCTCGGGGGCTGTGGGCGGTGCTGGTACCGAGGAACTGATGCGCTCTTAAAAAAAAAAAAATTTGTATTAAAAACCCGCGAAGAGGCTGGGGCGCGCTTCTCAGTGCGCAGGGTGCCCCGTCATAGGGGGTACTGAGGGAAGTCACATCAAACCTGGGGCAGTGGGTGCATTTCACCCTCTCTTTGGTTTCACCCCCGTGTGACCTGCGTGTGTAGAGACCTGGAGTCCCCTGAGGCTCTGTGTGCCTGCTGGCCACTGTTAGTCGGAACAGTTCTGTGGTTCTCTCTCATCAGGGATCGGGAAAGACCCCGGGAAATCAATCCCATAAGGATCGATTGCATCCACAAAAAAAGATGGCTGCCTCAGGATCGAAGGTGCCTTCTCATTTACCCTGCATAACCCCAAGGTTAACAAAGGATTTAGTTTGACTAAAGAAGGAATTATGTTGTGTTGGGGGATGAAAAGAGGATTAAGATTTTCTCCAAGGGACACGGAGGTGTAAGAGAGAGAGACTGAGGTAGAAAGGGAAAGTGAAACAGGGAGGCTGTGTTTACTATAGGCCTATGGCCAGGGATTTTGAGGGCATCAGCTAAGCAAAACCTCTTTGCCATCATAAGGTGTGAGAGGCCCTCTCAGCAGAAAGTTGATCGCTAGCAAGTAATTTGTAATGTATGATGAACAGTGTCCCATCTGAGTAACTCCTCATCATGTGCAATTACTGCACATAAAGCCTCTGGGCACTTTTGAGCCATTTGCTTGGGGATCTATGGATCCCTCCTTAAAATTCACTATGCCAGCCTAGCAAACAGGTGGAGCTGTGCTCCGCCGAGTGAGTGGCAGGCACATGGCTCCTTCAAGTGCAGTGTTTTGTATATTTAGCAGGGTGCAGGCTGTGGAAAGAAGGGCTGCTGGGAAGGGAAAACGATAGGAGGAACATGAGCTGATACGGCAGGGTTGTAACGGGTGGCTCTGATGAACTGTTAAAACATTGCAGATGAGAAAAAGTGCGTGTCATGAGGGGGTCAGTGAAAACCGATGAAGGTTAGGAAATTGGACACCATCACTGAGGCTGTGGCAACAGGGATAAACAGAGTCTGCGAGAGCCAGATCTGAAATGGACAGCCCCAGTCTGCTTCAAAACAAGAATATAAATAAATAGTTCTGGCAGAGGAACAGAGGCAGCATACTACAGTGCCTGCTACCCAGCAAGCTGCTGCTTTGAAGCTTATATCAGGAAGCGTCTGCTTCTCTGGTGTGAATGCCTCGATTTGCACAAGGATAGCTTTTTATGCAGTGGCTGTAGTTCAGTCAGCTTCCTAGAGAGACAGCTTGGGATGTTTGCAGATCTTCCTGTAGGTTTCCTATGTTGGTACTTGTTTCTGATTCCTTGCACTGTCTTCATTTTCCATGGTTGCTTTCTCTTTTTTGAAAATATATCAGAAAATGTGGTGCTTGAATTTGAATATCAAAATTGGTCAGAGCAAGGGTGGGAGTGGGAGCACCCATTGTGGGGTCTTGGTACTCACATAGCCTGTTCTTGCATTGGCTGGGCTTGCTCATGCTCTCTGTCCATTGCAAGTTCAACAGACAAGTTTCCTGTAGGAAGTTGTTAATTTAAATTTTTTAAATTTAATTAAGTTCACGAGAGCAGCACAGTTTGCTAAAATAGGTAGAGGGAATGGCAGCCAGCATGCTCAACAGTGTTGACTGATTTCCACACGAGGAAAAACATAAATGTACCAGGATAATTCAGTATGGAGAAGAAGCAGCTGTGGAGGATATACTGAAAGTCCATAAAGTGAGGAGTGGAATGGAGAAGGTGAAACTGAGTAGTGGCTGTTGTTTGTCTCTCATAAAACAAGAAAAACCACTGAATGTATTTACCAGGCAAAGGTCATAGTTTTTATGCAGCATATTTGTCTTATTGCTGTGGGATGTTGGAGAGGCTTAAAGGTGTGAAGGACTAAAAAATTTACAAGGCAAGTTCTTGCTTTATCCTGTGTCTATTTTGCAGTATTTTGGTGTCTTTTTTTAAACATAAATCTTCTCCTTTCTGGTGTTCCTTTGTAAGAGATGTTTTTCCTTTGTAAAACCGCAGGGCAGTGGTTCTGGTGCTGGCATCTGTGTGGAATTGGTTGTGGGGTACTTTTGTGTTCTCCCACCCTTGGTTCTAGTTAATACATTGTGTTAAGAGGGAGTAAAGTAAACTAAATTTTCATACTTGTTTCACATCAATCAATCTTCTACTATTTTCTAATGTTAGCTGCAGCTAAAGAATGTTTTGTCATCCATGATGGCTGGAGAATTAGACCTCTGATAGTAAATAGAAGAAAGGGGAGTTTCCATTAAGATATATCTTAGTTTGTTCACTAAAGTGACCCTTCCCTTAAAAGCTTATAGGAGAACCTGATTCAGAGTTTATCACTAAGGCACCAAGTTCTTTTTGTTATACAAATCAGTAATAAATCCCTCACAATATTAATCAGAATCTAGCCTACAATTTGGAAGTGCTCAAAATGTGTTTTAATTGAATAGTAAAAAATCCTGTATTTTTTCTGTTGCTTTCTTTCTTGTGATAGATTTCAGTTTAGTTCAGGTCTGCAAATGTTTTTGGGTTAAAGTTGCAGGGAGTATTAGTGAAAACTGAAAGAGCCTTCATTTTTACTAGAGACTAAACTAATATCTTAGAGTTGTACTTTTTTTTCCCCTTTTGAGCATTTTCCCATAGGTAGGAAGGTCTTAGGTAGGCCAGTGGGAACTGATCTAATTTGATAATACCCCTTGCAGATGTAAGGAAAAAATGCCTGATGTTACTGTGATCATTTGAAGGTGCTGAAGAAGAAATGTCTCTGAAGGTGAAGGTGGATACAGTTTTAAGACATTAACTTAGAAACTAGCAGTTTCTTGGTTTAGCAAGGCAAGGTATGATTGTTCATATTGTATGGGAGGAGTGCTGGTAACTGTGACAAAAGGGCATGAAGGTCATTTACCTTCAAGACTGGGACAAAGTCCTTTATGCCCTGGAGACAGAGGGAGTTGTAATTCTGACTTCTTTAGAGTTAGGACTTCAACTTTAATTTCTCAGGCAGCCATAAAAACAGCCGAGATTACTTCTGTATACAGAACCCCAGAGTCCTCATCGTCCTTTCTTTCCAAGCCCTTCTGCCTTTTTCCTTTTCCTCTTTTAATTTTATTTTGATTTTTTTTCTTTAGTAAGAGCTGTATTTAATGCAGAAAACATAGTTTTAATTTTTTTTTCTTGTTTGGAAGGCAGAATTGTAAAAAATAAAAATAAAAAATTGATGTAATAGTGGAACAAAAGGAACAGGAAATGTGAGGAAAATGGAGAAGCTGTGTCTAAACATGCTGTATCTGAAATCTGTGGCAAAACTCGTGTAAGATTACAATCAGTTATTTAAAAGAATGCATGTCTGTTCCCTGCAGGTCGACCTCACACGCACCTTCACCTTCCGTAACTCCAAGCAGACGTACACAGGAATTCCCATTATAGTGGCAAACATGGACACTGTGGGGACGTTTGAAATGGCTGTGGTTATGGCAAAAGTAAGTCTGAACTCTCATTTCTGCAACAGTTGGGAAGCTGCTGGGGGACAGCGAGCAGCCTTTGTTGATTTTTTAGCTAAATTTTTTGAGAACAGGGGAATGCAAGTTTAAAACTCCAGAATAAAAAAAAGCAGGTGTACTTTTACAACAGCACAGTCACCACAAACAGGGCTCCTGATGTAAGGAAATTTCTGTGGAGATGCTTCCATATTGGGAAGCTTCCATTTTGGGTGTAGCTCAGCTTCAGGTGGAGCTTCTAGAGCTTGTTTTTGAGGTCCCTTTGTGCTCCATGCCAGAAAAAAAAATAGCTGACAAGTTTTGAAAGTGTGGGTTATGGGATAGAACTGCAGCACTTTCTAAGTTAATGACCCTCTGTCACATTCAAAATACTGACAGTTGCTTAATGAAACATGTCATAAACCTGGTCCTGAAAGGTTGGCTAAGCATGCCAAGTTGCTTTTGAAGAGCTGTTTGTAGTTGCCTGGTCTGTTATTTGCTGTTACTGTTTCTTCCAAGCAGGATGAGCCTATACTTAAAAGGGGATTTTCTAATCCCTTATTTTGCAGCTGAGGGAAAAATTACTAACTGTGACATTAATATCAGTTCTCTTGTTTTTTTGCTAGCATGCAATGTTCACTGCAATTCACAAGCATTATTCTCTGGAAGAATGGAAACTGTTTGCTGCCAATCACCCAGAATGCCTTGAGGTACATTTTTCTACTGTAAATTATTATGGTTTATTGCTTTGTTCTGAACTCACATACACTGGAGTCTCTAGGGAATGCTGTTGTCAAATGAGGTTTTGGGGAATGAAGATATTTGCTGTTCTTAAATTCATCAAGGGAAGTGGCTTGTCCTGATTTAAAAGAGGGGCTACATGAGTCCATTATGAAAGTGCTTATATGAAGATGCTAAAAAGCAAAGTTTGTATATGCCTGGAATGGAAACAGAGAAGTATCCTGAAGGAGGAAATACTTAGGAATAGGCATGAGTGCTGTGCTTCTGTTGCTGTTGCGAGCTGTGGTAGTTCACTGATGTGAATAATTTCAAATAACCCAACCACAGCTGGCCCTGCACACCCTTGTGCCAGGCAGAGTCTTTGCCACCAGGTGTGCGAGTGGATCTGGAGTCTACAGGCTGGAGGGGCCTAGGGGCTGGGCCCAGGCAGGGATGAGCCCTGAAAGTTGTCAGAGCTTCTGTGTCCTCCACTTACCTTCTTGCACCAGAGCTCACTTTGTGCTATCCCACTTGTCCACAGGGTCCCAACCTGAGCCATTATATTCCATCAATTTAAACATTGACTTAATTTGTGACTTTCTCACATTCAGACTTCTTTTCTTCTGGCAGGCCCCTGTACCAGTAGAGGCACTGTGAGTGTGCCTGGCCATCTCCCCTTCCTGCTCCAAGTTCAGTGGAGTTTTTGATCTTTCTCTGTATAGAAAAGAATACAACATTGCTGTGTTGTATCTTTACCTGTGGCACATTTCAGAATTATATTATAAAGGCTATTGATTACAGAGTTGCTGAAAGTGAGCTTAGCACTTTGGCCAGTCAGGATTACTTACATGCCGCCATAGGGTAGAAAGTGGTCTCAGGAATGTCCTGTGTCTGAACACTTCCAAACTTATTTGTGGTATATAATGACTGGAATAGGATCTCCTATTCCTGTAGTGATTAAATACTGACTTGCACAGTGACCTTGGATTTCTGCAGAGGTTTTGCAGGCCAACAGCTGTGGAAACTATTTTTCCTTTGGAAAGAACTCATTGGAAAACAAAGGAAGAAGCAATCTGCTTGTTTTCAATGGTAGCTGACCTTGCTTGAGAAAGGGGATTAGACTACAAAATCTCCAGAGGACCTTTCCCAACAAAATTATTCTGTGATTCTGTACATCACAGGAGTGCTTGGTGAACTTAAAAGACCTAGATTTTACTCTCTGACAGTGCCCCAAATTTTACCTAACTTCCTGGAAATATACCAAGTTAGGGCTTCATCTTATGTTCATGTTAATATGAGAATGGCTGAACTTGACTGATCTCAGATGATTATATATGCCAGTGACAATCCACTTGTGAATGATTGCTAGAAAGCTAATTTCCCTCTCTTTTATATAATTTAAACTTGACAGAAATAGCCCACTGATTTTCCCAGGAAGGTATTTATTTCATATTACATAGTGTGATTTTTCACTAGTTACCAGCACAAGTCCTGCCAAGATTATGCAGGAAAAGACAAACAAATTGTGTGTTTATTTCAGTTTTTGCAACCTACTACTCTGTTTTGTTCTCTCTGTTTTTTTAGCATGTAGCAGCAAGCTCAGGTAGTGGACAAGAAGATTTGAAAAAGTTAACAAGTATTCTAGAGGCCATTCCAGCTATCAAATACATCTGCCTGGATGTGGCAAACGGCTATTCAGAGTATTTCGTGGAGTTTGTGAAGTCCGTCCGTGCCCTGTTCCCACATCACACCATTATGGTAAGTGTGTAGAAAGGGTGGAGGTATGTGTGTGAATTCTGGCCAGGAACAGGACCCAGAGTTTGACTGGCAGGCATCAGAAGTTGGAAGAGGAAGGGAAGCAGGGAAGGGTGTTCCAATAACAGTTTGGTATTGTCCATCCATTGCTGATGATTTCTGTGGGAATGTTTAGGGTGTGATCTGATGCAGCTGTCTAAGTAACTTGGCATAGAGGACTGGCTGGATCCAGTTCTCTTCCTACTCATGTCCTCCTTCCCACACTAGATGAGATCTCTGATCATTAAGTGTATAGGTTAATTTTGGTGATTCCAAGCAGAGGTTTGCTGTGGGAATGTACCAACATTTCCGGCCAGCTGGGGCCACTGATTGTTAGATCACTATGAAGACAGATCAATGCAGACTGATCCTTGCCTGTGATAAGAATGAGAGGGATGTTGGGCTGTTGTGAACAGCATTATAAGGGAGCAAAATGGTCAGTGCTGGGGCTTTTCATGGTGCTTTCTGTGATGTTACTATCCCATCTCAAAGTGCTAATTCATGCTTCCTTGAGGTCTTTTGCACCAAAAATAAGATGTTTACATGGACATGGAACTCCTAGCAGAAGAGCACTACTGCTGCTTTCCCAGGGCTCCTGAAGGAATGTGTCTGAATTGTTTCCATGAGAATAACAGAAATCCTCAAACAAGCAGCAGATGGGTAGTGAGGTTACCAGCCTTTCTTCAAGCCAGTGCAGCAAAAAAATCATGTGTTTAGGCATCACTCGCCTGCTTTCACATGCCACAGATAAAGTAAAGTAAAATATAAATGTAAAGTAAATGTGAAGTAAGAATGTTCCTAAATGCACATTCTCCCTTTGTTCAATAGAGAATAACATATTCAAGCAGCTCAGAAGAGGATGCATTCCTTCCTCCCATGTCAGAGGAAGGCAGTGTTTTTGCTTTGGAATGATGGAAAACTTGAGTGAGCTGGAATGCTTGTTGGATGCTGGGTTACCATAGGCTGATTAATAGGCATTCTTCAACAGTTGTCAGGAGAGATAGGAGCCATTTTGGTATGATCATATTTCCCATGGCTTTGGAGAGAGAGAATTTGGAATTTTGAAATGATAAATGTGGGCCTTCTGAGCTTCTTTGGATCTGAAGTCTTGTCCCTAGTGACATGATTGCTCCAGTGACTTTGTCTTTGAAGAGTTGTGGGAGGGAGCTTAAAGCACACAGTTAAAGCCAAAGATTATCTTTGTCAGGAGTGGAAAGAAAATTGTGTGTCATGCCCTCCCCCACCTCCCCAGTGATTGCTGACTTTGCTGACTGAGGAGAGAACTCAACCAAGATGAATTCCCCAGAAGGCAGAGAAGGTCAATGTCAAAGTCAGATATCAAGACCAGGCCAGTTTCATTCACCTTCTGCATCTGTTCAGCTGCCTTCCTAGTATCTCTGCTTTTGTGGCTAAGGTTATTGTTACTTCAGGTCTCATTGTCCTGACAGCACCACCTGCTTGAACACATTTACAGCCCTGACCTGTTCAGTTGCCTTCTCTGAATGTAGCTCCTTTATCTGAACATGGCTTAATATGGCTTATGTTTTTAATCTGCACAGCAATAATTTCCACTCCTAAAAGCATGCTAACAAACTTGGGGTGTTCAAAAACCTTCAGCTTTCCAAAGCCTCCAGAATCTGTTCAGTCTCTGAAGGTCTCTGATTCAACTAGACACCCACCTCTACCCTGCTTCCAAATTAATTCATGTTCTGTGCCAAAATGGCCTTTTGAAGCTGTTCCTGGCTGAAATGCAGGAGCTGGTCTGGGCTCCTTTTAATGGTAATCTGGAAGACATGTCCTGCTGCTACCTGTTTGTTCCGACTGCTTTGGTGTGTCTGTGCTATGCCTGCAGTATGTTCTCTGCTGTTGGGACTTTCAAACAAAAGGGCTAGCGGTTAAATAGGAGGTATAAAAATAAAGAAGCTTTCTCGTAGCTGAAAGTGATCTCCAGGACCTTGTTTGCTTTCCTCAGCATGACTGTTCATTCCACAGTCAGCTGCAGTGCAATACATAACAGTAACCCAACCCTGGATCTCAGGGAATGTGTGTTCCCAGGGGCCACGTAATGGGTTCAGCTCTGAGGCTGAAAGGGGATGTGCAAAGCAACTGTGGTTAATGTAGCAGTCTCTGTGGCCAGTACTCCCCGGCAGACCAACCATGTCTCTTGTGTAACAACCTTTCAAATCCACATTTCTGCCTTTTTAAATATTTACTTTTATAATCACATTGCCTTATTTTCTTCTGCCTGGTTCTGACACAAGGTTTTCTCACTTTTGCATTTTGTAGTAATTTACAAAGAAGATCAGCTTCTCCATGGAACACAAAGGGTAGAGAAGACAAACGGGCACAAAAGTACAACATGACTTGTCTTAAATCACTCATCGGGTTGGGAATGGGGGAAGAAAGGATATTTAAGTCTTCTGAGTGTCTCACAAGTGCCTCCCAGAACCAGGAAGATCCTGAGGAGGATCACCCATTGGAGGGTTTTGCTATTGTGCAGCATTATGTGCATCAATTATGCTTGCTTGCTCAAGTCTAAAGAAAACCTTTAGTCAGCATTCATGATGGAGGATCAGAGCCTTTATATTACAGGTTGCATAGTCCTTATTGATTAGTTTTATTGTAGACTTTAGGGTTATTCTATCACCCTGAAAGTCTGTTTACAAGCTGAGTTGTCTTTGTCTGCCAGCTTTGCCAAGTTTTTATCTTGAATTTTTGTTTTCATGCTATTCCTCTGTTCCTTGTAGAAGAGCAATCCTGAGGGGAGCAGGGAGTGTGGCAGGAAGAAGACTGAGGCAGGAGCACACTTGGAGATACAGTAGCACCCACAACATGTGGGCCAGAGAGGGAGACAAGCGGAACTGCAAAGCAGAAGCAGAGGGAAACAGCAGGAGCCAGAAATTGTTGCTCCTCCTTGGAGTCAGTAGCAGAACTTTTCTGGGCCTTGGAGGCAGAATGGAGGCAGTATTCAGTCAGAGAAAGCCATGCAGACTACTCCCAGCTCAGCCCTGGAACACACACCAGAGTAAATTCAATCGTGGCATGTCTACCAGGGCTGGCATCTGAGAGCAGCGGCCAGGCAGGATCCCAGGATAGGAGAGAGGGATGCTGCTGAGCCTGCCTCAGGTCAGGCACAGCACTGAGTGCAAGCACCCACTGAGTGTGGCTCAGCCTTGCAAAGGGCATCTCCATCTCATGGTTAAGCACCCCTTACTTTCGTGGGTGGGAGGTGTCCTTTGGCCGCCTTCCTGATAATGTGGAGGCACAGACTGTGCTTTCCTCTAGGATACAAGAAGAAAGTTTGAGAACTGTTGTCATAGACACTTCTCCCCAGCTAGATCCATTGCCATTTGCCAGCAGCTTTCAATCAGTGCAGCAGTGTTCCTGTCTTAGGCAGTATGAGTTGATATTTATAGCAGGCTTTCATGAGGCACAGTATCAAATGCCTGACTGAAATTCAGAGGCACTGCCCTATGTGTTCACTAATTTTGTATCTCTGTCAGAGAAGCTGTAGTCTTTATAATCCTGTTAGGTAAAATCTTGATCTCAATAAAGTCAGTAGGGAAATTCCTTTGACTTTTCTGAGGCCGGGATTTTCCTCAGGACTGACCCACAGTTCAGTCGTCCTGGATAGTGCTGGAATGACCCGGGCTGGCATTCACTTGGGACCCCATACTGAGTGATGGACATCACGATACTTGCACCAATTGCTTTGTTCCCTGGCTACTTGTGTAAACACATGACAAAGTGTATTGCTTGTAGTGACTTCACAGTGCATGTTCCAATTGTGTTCTATTCTTTCAGCTAATTTTAAGAGGATTTAATTTCTGTAGTCTCAGTCTTTCTATATTGATCTTTTCAGATTTTTTTTTAAGTTGAAGTATTCTGGCTTTACTGTACCAGTGGAGACTTCAAAAGCCCTTTTGCCTCAATTCAGCTGTCATACTGGTATGAGTGGTAAGGCAAGCATTGGTTTCAGTAAAGCAGAGTTCAGAAGAGACCACTGATTTCCCTTCAGCGGTCATACTGGGGTCTCTTCACATACAGCTAACTGTGCCTCTCTCATAGTGTTTTTTTTGTGCTCTCTGAGGTCTGCAAAAGGTACCTCAAAGAAGCAAGCCTCTCATTAGCAGGTTGAAGTCTGCTATGTAGAGTTCCACGTCTTCGTTGAAAATTTGTAAAGGATCTGCAGATTCAGAAGCACAGAAATCAGTGATGTGTGTACATGCATTCCAGGAAAAAATGTATGCTGGGGACATAAGTGCTTTTCCCTGCTAGGATGAGCATTTTCAACCAACATATGCAGTTCCAACATTTTCTAGCAGTAACTTAACAGTAAACGTCTGGTTAACATTTCTGAAGAGACAGTTTGACAACCCTCTATGCTCTGCTAATAAGAAGACACTGCTGTTTAAGTTAAATACATATTTTACCCCAAATCTCATGCAACTACTGACTTGGAATACCTGCTCCTTCCTATTTATGAATCTTTTTAATGTGCTCCAGTGTTTCACCAGGTGGTACTGTGGTGTGTGTCATACAGCACAGGTGGTCATCTGCCTTCCAGAGGTAAACTGTTTCCTTGATGTCCTAAGTGGCACACTCTCCATCACCCCATCTTGGAATGGACAGCACTTAGTATAACAAATTACCACTGAGCAGAAAGGAAGCAGCACTTAGCTGAAACACTGTACCTATTATATACTCTTTATTTCCTGATTGTTCTATTTTATTTTATTTTTAATCAATATCATGCTCTTTTGAGAAGATTTAAGTGGTCCTGTATCATAGACCACAAATTGCTGCTTGATACTCTCATTATTTTTTTAAGTGCTTCAGGTGGTGGCTTGTCAGCTGTTTCAAGCTAATAAAAAGGAGGAAGCAAAATTCAGTAAAAATAAATAAATAGTGAAATAGGAGTCAGAAATCAGTAAGTGGAGAACAGGCCTTGCCCAGTATTCCATGGGTACCCTTGTGCTGACTTCAGCAATAGCTACATTTGAATAAAAGCTCTACTAAGTAAGGACTTTAGAATTTGCCTCCTTCTCTACCCCTGTCAGTGCTGCTACAAACACTTATTAAGTCCTGCAGTATCATTATGTCAGAGATTTCTGAACATCTCTAGATCCAAGTTCAGATCTCTAGAAATGAATAGCCTGTGCTTAGTACGAGTGCAAAACAGGTTATGTGGAAAACAGGAAGTTTCTCTTGTGCAGTTTTCCTGGTTAGGAATGTTCTGTAGACATGAGACAAGCCACAGAGCTGAGATACAAACCAAGCTTGGTTTGTAATTGTCTAAGAGTACTGAAGGAGATAGGAAATGTTGGAGCCGGACCCCTCTCATCACCTATCAAAGGTCTTGGGAGTGTGGGGAGGTTCCTATTGACAGAAGGTGAAACAGTGTTATTCCAGTTTATAGGAGTTATGTGAGGGAAGACCTGGGAAACTAAACACAAAGGCATGGGGCATTGGACACCTCTGTAGGAAGCCCATTCTAGGGTTTGTCCACCCTCTCACTGAAGAGCTGATTATTCATGTCAGGTCTGAACCTCCCTGAGGGACACAGCTTTGAGCCATTCATATGCATCCTGTCCCTGGATCCCAGGGAGAACTCAGCCCCTCCCTCTCCACCTGCCCTCCTCAGGAAGCTGTAGTGAGCAGTGAGGTCACCCCTTGGCCACCTTCTCTCCAAGCAAATGAGCCCAGTGCCTTGGCCACTCCCCACAGTATCTGCCTTTCAGTCACATCACCAGCTTTCCTACCTTCTTCTGACACATTTGAGGACCTTCACATCCTTCTCAATTGTGGGCTGCAATTTATAGAATTGGGTTCCTGTACAATGTTCCCTCAGAGTATGGGAATGCAGTTAGTACAGCTGTAGTGAGTCAGTTCAGTGTGTGCTATGTCAGCATTCATTTGCTTTGTGCAGCCTGTTGCAGAGAGGAAAGCGTGGTCTGAAAATGCACTGGCTAACAGTTTGTTTTCAAATGTTACTCAAAGCATAGGTTTTAGCTCATAAATCTCCTTTGAATAGGATTCAAATGTCATTTGAAATCCTTGCTCTTTGAAGACTGTCTTTTCCCTGAAAATCATCTGGACAGAGGACACTCCTGGCAAGGGAATTAATCTCTAGCCTCACTCTGACTGCTGATCCATCAGATGCACAGTTGGAATACATGCAAGGGCCCGTCTTGTCACACTGAGCTTGCATCAAAATGTTTCTTTAAATGAATAGAAATAGACTGGCAGCTCTCTGCACTTAGTGCACCAGTTTTGCAAGCCAATTACCAAGTGTGTGCTCAAAGGTTGTTTTGTAGTTTCTTTTATTAAAAGTATCAGTAATTTAATCACACTGGCATTCTTTGCATTCACAGCATCCATGAACCAGAAAAATCTGTATCTCATGGTTACTACAGGCCACATGCCCAGCTGAGGCTCTGGCAGAAGAGGGCCCCCACCTCAATAAACCACATGTGGAAAACATTACTCTAGGAATAGGTAGCACAGTATCAGGGGCAGTTCTGCAAGTTTCTGCTACAGTTTGGAGTAGGTAAATGTTCCTGGAGGCATGAGTAGATCACAAGGTGACTGTGAGCCACCAGTGTGACACAGGCAAAGGCATTCTTCTGTGTCAGGCAAGATATTTCCATAGGAAAGGAAAAAGCCTTTGTGCAAAGCCTTGCTGAGAACTCACCTGTACCACGTGGATAGTTCTCATTCCTCAGGTTCAAGAAAGATCTGTCTGGTATAACTTCAAGGAAGTCTGGTATAAGGCAAACAAAGATTAAGCAATTGACTGGGGATGTGGAGAGCCAATAGAAGAAGTTTTCTAGAAGGAGCAAGACAAAGGCTGAGAGAGCTGTCTTCACTTTCAGCAAAGATAACGATGTAGGCAAAAGGAGGAAAAGACCTGTTGAAGTGCAAGAAAAAATACAGTAAAGAACACAAAACAATTCAGAATTTCTTTCAAAGAAGATGTTACCCTAAACAGCATGCTCTCTATATCTCTGCAAAGGGCATGCACAGGGAACCAAGCCCCTGTTTTTAACCAGTGGCATCACCACAACAAAATGTGCATATATGGTGTGAATGGTCAGATTTATATTGTCTGTGTATACATACCAATTTTGGCACTAATGCACAAAAATTAGAACAATAGTACCTTCCTTTCAGTGTGAGAAATACTGAATCCTAAAGAAAAAACTTATTTTTCAGCATTTTAAACAAGATCTGAACTTCTTCCTGCAAAGCAAGGTAGGCAAAAGGCATGGAGGTCTCTAGGCTGTTTTGGAGAGACAGAGGTAGGGCAGGAGAGGTGAAGGAGTTCACTGTACATAAGAGAGAAGAATAGCCCCTGTGGTTAGGGATGATGTGGTTGAGAGCCTCTGGGTGAGGATTGGGGTGATGGATGACAAAGCAGATCTGATGGAATGCTAAGGATCAGGGTTTACTGGATTACTTATTAAATTCATTTGACTCAAGAATTTACCTGGTTTAGTCTTGGTGGCATGTCCAAGGAACAGTATGATGAACTATATTCTTCCATACTCTGCATAGTTCAACTTCTAAAAGCTCTGGATCAAACTTTACATTATAATTTTTAGTCTTTACTGCAGTAGTCTTGAAATCTCCTGTACCTGTGATACTGTTCTTTCTTTCTAGGCAGGCAATGTGGTGACAGGAGAGATGGTAGAAGAACTTATTATTTCTGGAGCAGATATTATTAAAGTGGGTATTGGACCAGGTAAGTCAAATAAAGGTGGCTTTTGGTATCATTGGTAGAGGATAGAGGAGTTGTCCAGATGGAACAAGTACATAATGCTGTTTCCTTGCCTGTTCGAATGCCAAGACCCACTCAGGTCAATAAAGTACCAGTGAACTTGCACACAGTGCGTTTAAGAAATTTACATACTGAGTGCCAGTGTTTCATACTGAACAGTGTTGCATATTGCACCTCCAGTCAGTGAAGATAGTTGGTTTTGGAAGCACTGGGCTGCCTGAGTTCCTGACATTACCACTGATAACATGTGTTGTGTCTGGGAACAGTTTTCTAGCCTGCTGAAAAGAGGATGAGTCATCCGAGCTAAAGCTCAAAGGATGCTGTGTCCAGGTGTCCACCTCTATCAAGGAAAGATGTGTTTCTGAGTAGCTTTATGATTTGTGTTCTATGAAGCTGAGGTTATCCCTGTCAATGTCTTCAAAGATGAAATGGTGTTGATTGTGAAATATGGATAACTTTGCCTCTACCTGTTACTATTGCCTGGGAGCTAAAATTTACATTAATGTACTTACATGCTGTCTATCACTCTAACATTTCCATGGATAAACAAGAGAACCCGGACCTTCTTACAGTGTTTTCCCTATCTTCCCTTCCCTAATGTTGTCTGGCATACACTGCCATAATCTTTCTTTCTTTTTTTTTTTTTTCTCTCCTTCCTTGTGCCTTCCTTCACATGTTCCTTCTTTTGCTATTTTCTTCTTAGACTGCAGCTGGAGTCACCATATGTGGGCTAGATTTTAAAGTGGCTAACACAAATGCCACTGACAGTATAGCTGTGATCATCCAGTGCAGTGCAGGCAGATTGTTTACTCTGCAGTGCCAGACAGTTGTGGTCCATGAATGGATAACTGGAGCACAGAAAATGATGTAATAAACCTTGCAGTTGTTCCCAGCAAGATATCGAACAATAAATAGTGCAAAATACATGAAGAATCAACAACAGAGATTTCATGGTGTAATTGTCATGGGCAAATTCAGATTTAAAAGAAGAATAATTATAGTTTGTAGCCTCAAACATGGAAATGCGGGTAAATGCTGTATAGTCCTCCCTGGAGATCTTCCTGAACAGATCTGTACAAGTTGACCTTCCTGAACAGATCTGTACAAGTTGACCATGCAAACCCACAAGTAATGAATGTTTCTCCCTCAGGTCTTGAAGCTCTTTTCCAGATAATGATCTGTCATGTTATTATAAAGCATTACATACACTATGCAGTACAAGCCCTGTGGAAATTATATTTTTTCCCTATTTAATTAAAGCTAACTTTCTTACTATTTTTCAAGAATTCTTCTCAGTGTTTTCACTTTGTCAGTTCTTTGAAGGATCTTTGGTAACTTTTGCTTTACTGGTAGCTTGAGTATACCTGGATATCAGCTGAGTGAAGGGATTCATATTTCACTGCATTTTGGTTTAGAATCTGTTTTGAAATTCTCGTTACCATGCGGACCTTTTAGGTCTGTATCCTAAATTATAGAACCTAGACTGGGAAAAAGTACTCCTCCTTTTGACTCTTAATTTGAGGGAACAAAATAGAGAAAGTATTCCAAAAGATCCATGTTGCTATGTTGAACTGTAAGTAAATTGGTTTGTATATACATATGTAAAATATATTATATATAGATAGATATATACAGATAGATACATACCTTTATTTTTATCTATATGTACATGCAGGCACAATGTATGGGTATAAATAATATAGTTCAATGAGTAGATATAGTTCCTATATTTCCCTTGTTGTTGTACTGTTCAGCTTTCAGATGATTACTTATCTCACTTTTTAAATGCTATATGCTGATTTTTTAATATTCCCCAAAATTGTCATCTGCCAAATATTCCTGCCTTCAGTATTAAACAAAAGATGGGAAAATTGTTACCAAAAAAAAATCACAGATTTTACCATAGAATTGCTTCTTTAAACATGCAGAAAAGAGATAGAAATATATATTAGAAGACATAGTTGGGTAATAAATGCTACTGCTGAGTCTCACAGGTTGTGATTCTGGTCCTTTTGCCCCTTCCCTTCAGGCACCTCAGTCAGATTTGCTTTCTTGTGATGAAGTAATTCTTTCACTGAGAAGCATTACTGATGGGAACTAAATTGGGATTGGCAGTGGAGAAGAAAGGGGGGACATGAGTCTTCTCAGCCACAGCTCCCCTGAAGTGGCATGTGAGCATTTCAGAATTCAAGTTCCTATGTGCTCCTTTTATCTGTGAGAAGCCAGCATTGGCAATAGAGACTTCTTGGGAGAACAGTAATGCTGATAGAAACACATTTTTTCTGTATCATTTCTGTCATCCTGATGAACTATGTATATTCCTCTCGTTCTCTTGTCTAGGTTCTGTGTGTACCACTCGGATTAAGACAGGGGTGGGCTATCCACAGCTAAGTGCTGTTATTGAGTGTGCAGACTCAGCACATGGCTTGAAAGGACATATCATCTCTGTAAGTAACTGTCACCCACTCTGATTCCCACTGTGCAAACTGTTGTGGAACAGGAGAATCAAACAGTCCAGTACCCTGCATGTTAAAGCCTGTCCTTCTGTCATTCCCAGTTGACTCCTGTGCTAGTTCCTAGGACAGTCAGTGGAGATCCAGATGTAAAAAACCAGCTCTCTAACATTTAAAATATGTGGGTGCCTCACTTCTGTTTTATTTTTCAAACTCTGCCTCTTCCTTTGTGGAGTAAGCTGTTATGTAAACAGAATAGGAAGCTTGGTAATGTTTTCACTATTGAAGCAAACTGTAATTCCTATGAAAGACTTCTGTAGGGGTGGAATGTAAACATTGCTTTCCTCAGAGTGTGACTGAGGGATAGGCAGGCAGGCATAGAGGGGAGCACAAGGGAAAATGATGCGAGCCCATCTGTGCCCTGGTTGGATTGATTCAGAGAGCATCCACACAAAGCTCTCTGTGCAGGGGCAGGAGTGTTTGAGGTGGCTGTTTTGAGCACAGCTAGCACGTGAGCCACTTATGTTCTCACTAAACTCTGGGGAAATAACAAGCCTGTGGGGGAAAAAGAGCATCTGTCTGTATTGCCTGCTAATGGCAGTTTCTACTCTTGTCAGCAAGACCAGATTCACCTCACAGAGAGAAAGTAAATTGGTAGTAAGCATGGCCCCAGACTGAGCTGGAGTGCAGCCTGCAGCACCCAAAGGTCCTGTGTGCTTGGGCATACACAGGCATGTCAGGCTGGCACAGCCTCTGCAGGCTGCCTGTGAGGCAGCTGCTCATGGGGAGGGCACAGGGGCTCACCTGTGTGCTGTGCTCACAGCCAGCAGCCTCCCTCTGCCCCTCTAGGAGAGACCACACACTGGATTTTAGTTCTACTGCCAAGTGAAATCACTGGAAAGCCCTGGTTTCTTTGACCCAGTTGGGACTAGTATCCATGGGAGGAAGGAATGTTCTGTTGTGTTGTTGAGGAGGGAGGTGAGAGGAAAACAAACTGAGTGGGGGTGGGCAAAGGATTTGACTGGATCTCTTGGAGTATGATGGAGCAGGAACATGTCTTACAGTCAGATTTCTCTTGCTCTTTATTGTTAATGAATGTGCAGTCGCTCCTCTCTATGGCTCCTCTATATGACTTTTGCAGAAAAAAGAAGCAGTCTGTGATTTCTATGACTTGGGCAATATTGCAAATGTTTCTTGCCTATAACAGACAGTAGAACGTGTGCAATAGAGCATGAACACCTCACTCATTACTGTGAAGGCTGCCTAAGTATAGGTGTCATCCTGGCAGGGGTGCTCAGAGACCCATCCTAGTTTTGCAATAATCATTTTCTGCCAGCAGCCCTCAGAAGAATGCTGTTATCCTGATTTTAGAAGAAAACAGGGAGTCTGTATTCAGACTGTTGAAAAATTAGATGGTTCTGTACTGTATTTCCTTTCCTGCTTTGGGAATGGATCAGTTCTTGACTTGCTCAGGTTTCAGTGGTCCCACACCTATTAGCCCCCAGTGGGGGAATGCAGGAGGGCAATTTGATACCCGTCTGCTACCAACATCTGGGCCAAGAGAAATACCTTCAGCTGCAGCTCACATCACTTCAGCTCAACTCTGTCACCTAATCTAAGGAGAGTAAAGCAAGAGTAAGGACATTATGCCTGAATTCTGGAGCATTCAGATGGATATTTGTGTATTTATTAGGGAAAGAAAAAGTTGGACTGCATGGTTGTTGCCAGAGCTCTGGCAAGAACATCATGGAAGAGAGGTATCCTCATGACAGAAAAACACCATATGGCAGCAATTCTAAGTATAGAATTGGGTCTGGTGGCAACAAGTATACATGGCATCCCTCAAAATGTCTCACTGCTGTCTTTCTGCTGATTGAAGAAGGGGCACACCCTACCTGAGCTAAAAAAATCCCTACAGGCAGAGTATTACCACAGCTATCTGTGTCAATTCCCCAGGAGGGAATGTGTCCAGCAGTTTTTGTTATGTTGATATGAAAGCAGCAGGAAGGATGTGAAGAGATTCAAAGCCTAACAGCTAGGTTCATGTGGATTGTAGCTAATGGTGTGATATGGGTTAGTCCCTTGGGGTACTTTCTTATATCCACTTCTGTCTTGTCCAGTACATTCATCAAATTAACTCCCCTGTCTTGTTATGTTGGTATAATTTCCATATGAAGAAAAAGAAGTCTCGCTCTCAGAATGAGGAAGTGATGGTGCTGAGCACAGTCTGAGGCACTGCAGAGAGCGCAGCATGACTGAACCCTGATCTTCAGGAGCTCTGCTAGGATGGGACCACAAACTGGGATTTTAAACGTTCCTATTACTGAAGTTATCATGTATGATTTTTGGAACTGATTCGTTGACAAGGAAAGTGACAATTTTCAGGCAAACATGATAGTCCAAGTGAACACCTGGTGTCTGTCTAGTCATTTACACAGAGAAGTAGGAGGTAAAATTGCACCAGTTACTTTCTTCATGCTAAATTATCTGTAAGACTAAAAGCTCACCTCAGAAATGAATCTTTCATGACTCACTGAAAACAGAGAGGAAACCCTCCATGAGATACAGGCATGGTTTCTGTCCCGTGCTGTTTGTCTGGGAGCCAGTAGTCTCAGTTTTCATTCTTGCTAATCCATTGGCCTTGAGAAAGTGCTGCGGTGAGTTACAGTGGAGGGGGCCTGCTGGAGATGTTTCTTCTAGGTCAGAGAACTCCTCTGCTGGACAGAGGCAGTCACATATTCTAGCAAGCCAGCAATGTGGGGAATGGAAAGCAGCCCTGTATGTGTCCTCTCTCATGTGGCTGTCATTTGATAGAGATCCCTGTTTCCCCTTCTCCCTGCCTGGGTGATAGGTCACCAGCATTCAGTGAAAAGAATGACTAAGGGTTTCTTCACCCAGCTACTGCCATACTGTCCCTTTTTCCACACAGAAACACACCCAGTATATGTAGTTCAGAATAAAGCATCATATGTGCTGTTTTTACTGCTGTAAATGCCACATACATTATAAATCTTCTGCATAATAAATAGCTATCTGTTTGCTGATACCAGCAAATAGATAGCTACAGTGCTTTGTAGAAAGCACTGGTTATGCAGTTTATAATAAAGGTTGCTTGAAACATAAATCGTACTTATAAACTCATTATAAATTGCTTATAATACTAAATGTTCGATCAGTGTATATTGGTTTTCCATGCTGGTTTTTTTTTTCTTTCTTTGGCTAAATTTTGTTGCTGTAAAATGGCTTATCTATCAGGAGAACAAGACTGGGGACAAAAACATTACTTCAGCCACATTAAAGTAATTCTGTTGGGAAAGCTACTTTCCCCTGCCCTTCTTCCTAGCACCCACTTGGCTCAGAATCGTGCTGTCTACAGGTCCCGTGACCGTAACCCTTTTCAGTAGTCTTACTTTGGTGTTATGCCAGTTCCCCTGAATTCAGAGGCAGATTTTTACAGATAAGTTTGCCCAGGGTTGGGTTCTGAGGTAGAAGCTGAGCCTGCAGCAAACTCTATAACTGAAGCCCAGCCATCTACAAGTCATTTTGAACCCAGACCCAGGGCCCTGTTGGAATAAGCCAAATTTCAAGGGTTAGCTTCCAAGGCAATGCAGCAGCAGAACAGTCTTACTTTGTAGACAGAGTGCCTATTTTTTTCACAAGGAATGAAGTGCTTTACTGCATATAGCTTTATTATATAGCATCTTCTGACATAACTGCTTAGTATGTTCCCTTTCTGTTTCCCTTTCTGTGAATCACTAAATTTACCTGCTTATCTGAAGTAACTGAAGACATCTACAGATAAAGAAGGGTTGTGATTCATCATTGTCAGTTACTTTTATCTTAAATGGTAACCCATGAGCTTTTAAGTCTCTTAAGCTGCTCAGCATTTTGTAATTTGGTAGCATTCAAAGTGATATTTTTTGAAGCTGGTGATTAATGGTTACACAGTAAGCCCCCCCATCCTCACGGCACCTTTGAAAGCATAAAACCTTCATCACTGCCACTACTGGGTTTGTTACAAAAGTCAGATACTGAGCCACCCAAAAACAACTGACTACAACCCACCTACCAGAGAGCATTCAAAGCCAATGTCTCTCAGATAGTAAGAGTCCTAAAACTATTCTTTGAAGATTATTAGACTCATCTTTCTACCATGGCTCTTCCTCCCCTGACCCATGCACACGCACTCACACCCTCCTCCAGGCTGTGACAGACTTGTTAAAGGGAAAGAATTGCACAAGCAGAGCCATTAAAAGGAGAGAGAGATTCAGCTGTCAGCCCAGCACTCATTCCTGGAGCTGACAGCAAGGGTGTCTAAGCTCAACAAAAGGCAAAATGTGCTAGAGGTTATCAGCAAATGGAATAAAAGCCTTTAAAGTTCTACCAGGCACTGTTTGCAGCGGGGTGCCCTTTGAAAAGCCACTCACTTTTGGATCCACCTGCTCAGTTTGTGTCTGAATCCTTTTCTGGGCACACAGAGTTTCTAACCCAGAGCCCCGCTGGCAGCTGCCCATCAAAGGCAGCTCTGATACGGCTGATGGAGGGGGTGTCCGGCTGTGCTCGGCCGCAGGTCACGCACAGCCATGCGTTTCTGCCAACAGGGAGGTGAAACAGCATGAGGTAACTGGCCACTCTGGGGGTAGCTTCAAAAGCAGCAAAGGTGTTGGCAGTCTGCAGTGGATCCAGATCATCAAAGGAACGAGGAGCTCTCCTGGTACAATGACTGTGTAGACTAAAGGATCTTTCATCTGGTGCTCAGACTTTCACAAATCCTAAAGAACCATAGCACGTGATGAGCTCTGCTGTGTGCCATTCCTTTTTTACAGCTCTGTCTCACATACACAACCTCCCTCCCCTCAGCTGAACCCCCTTCATTGCACTGAAACTGAAATGTGTAAGTCTAAAATGCTAAAGGTCCAGAGTGCTGTTGCTTCCTTACCAAGACCATAGCATACAGTAAGGAGTAGGATGAGAGGCTCATTTTCACTAAACCAAAAATTGTATTAACTAGGTTTGTTAGAGATTATCAGATAAAAATCCAACATAACTGACGATATATTCCCTCTTCCCTCCCACTGTGGCCTTTTAATATATTGTAAACTGCTGAGAAATTGTTTTTAAATGTCTTCGGTGGTTAAAGGTAGAGGCTTGTGGTACCTCTGCTTCACACAGCCTTACATTAAAATGGCAGGGGATGATTCAGATTGTCAGAGGACGTTTTGTTTTCTGGTTTCTGGGATTTGGAAACTTGCATGCAGGAATTTGCATTGCTGCTGTTGCCAGTGGTATTATCAGTAGACTGTGCAGTAGAGTAGGTGAGCCTCAAGGGGGGAAGCAGTGGAAAGGATTATTTGGATTCTGTGAAAATGTAGCCAAGATGATACATCCCAAGTGCACGGTCAGCTCTCTTGACATGCTGTTCCTGAGCAGGGGCCACAGTGCTGCAGTGCTCACTGGGTCCCTGGGTGACCTCGCTGCCACTCACTGTTGCCTTTTCTTTGTGCAGGACGGAGGATGCAACTGCCCAGGAGATGTCGCCAAAGCGTTTGGTAAGAGCTGTGTGTTGTGACACCCCCACGTGTCTCCAGCGCCCCTGGAAGGCAGGGATGCAGGAATCAGTGTGACCCTGAATGTGTAATCAATTAGCAGGAGGTTAAGTTAGTCCCTGCAGCTGACTCCAGTGAAATTAACGCACCAGGCATGAATTTGCTCTTTGGAACAGACAGTCCAAATTCTGCAGTGCAAAACATAGAGTGGTAAAAGTGATATTTAGAAATTATCTGCCAGGTGTGTATGAGATACACCTGCTGTGAGAGTACGAAGAAAACTCATAGGAGTTTCTTCTGAGTAGGGTTCAGAGATGCCTGTAACGTTGCCAGATCTGGCTGATTTGAGCCCTGAGTGGAAGAAAAGCTGGTGGAATGCACGCTGGACAGAAGAGCAAAACAAAAAGGCAGGCCAGATCCCTGGAGATGTTCTTGGGATCAACTGTCCACTTGAAGTGATGAGATTTTATTTATACTGTATCCCCTAGAGCTAGGCAGATGTCTGAAACATCTAAGTTAATAATTAACAGATTTTGCTTTCATGTAAGTTCAGTGAATTGCGCCAGCTCTTGATGGTAGAATAGAGGATTTAATCTGTGGGTATGGTCTGTTGGGCATGAGAGTTACGTTGGTATAGGGGGGTCAAAATCATCATTGTCACTCTGCCATAACCTTGTTCAGCAGCATATGGGATGCAGGCACTAAATGCATCCTGAGATGACAAGGCATTTAAAGGTACTCTCCCACCTCCCAAAAGGCCAGACTCTTTGGAGGTGTCAAGTAGGGTAATGCCTGGAATACAGTGGGACAGCACAGTCTCTCATGGGATTTCAGGGTGGTATGAAAACAAAACATAGCACATTATGATGCAGAATGTCTGCTTTGCAGGAAGCTTTGCAAATATGGAAAGTAGAGGCAGGCCTAAACTCAGATTGCAGACTTGCCAAGAAAAACTCTAGGCCTGGAACTCAACTCCTGGAATAATTGAAACCAAAATCTGTCTTCTAAGTTTGCAGACAGCTCCAGTTTTGAGACAGATCGCATCACAAGGAAGACTTAATTAGAGAATTCTAAGGACAGCTGTGGAGTGATTGCTACCAGCAAGGAATGTGCTTGGTCATAGGATTTCATATAACCCTTGTGTTACCCAGTGGTGATGTGATGCAGATACTTCAGTTGGGTGATTCCAACATAGCTGAGCAGCAGCATCCACCCTCTTAGACAGGATTGTGTTAAAAAAATGCCCAACCTCTCCTCAGCCCTCACTCTGACATGGTGCCTGCAGTGAGGTCTTTATTCTGCCTTTCTCTGGCTTCACAGCTCACCAAGTTCTTACTGGTGGTGTGGTCCTTGGGAGCTTGTGAACTGAAACTGTGACTTCACTGTATTCCTGGCTGTCTGCGCAGAAACCTGGCCTGTGGGAAAGGTCTTTCTTCAGCAAGAGCATTTCCAGAAGCTAGAACAACAGGGAGCAACTTCACAGTGTTTCAAATGTTTTTCTTTGTAGTGTTTATTACAAGTCTGAAAGATCCCTGTAGTCTCCTTGGACTAACTGAACCTGAACCTGCTTGAAACCTGTGAAGAGACAGTTTTTGGTTTTGCTGTTCATCAAGAGGTGCTGGGATTCCCAGTGGTACATGTCTGAAGGCTGCCACAGGATTATCCCTTGGACAGAGGAGCATCAGAAAGCTGAGATTTTCCAGGCAGTAATTGTACTCTTGATAGTAACCCAGACAGATCAGTGTGACTGTGTGTCACAGCTACAGAGCTGGAAATGATGGAGATGACCCTGAGGCAATAAACTTACTGTATCTGGTTATGTACACTTGATGTAGACACACTGTGAACATCTGACAAGCTGGACCCAGATGTGCCTTTGTCAAAGGTATGTGGCAAAATAAGCTTTGAGATAACATTGTTACTATCAGTGTTTATTGAATGCTAGGAAGTGATCGAAGTGATCGGCTATCTGAATCTCTTAGAGCGCAGCCACCATACCTAACATTTACAAGTCAAAGCCTTGATACTGAATTGTCCAGCACAGACCTCTATGCTTGAGTTACATGAATATATTGGATAGCAAAGACCAGGTGATGGAACACCCAGACCTACAGTGTGATCTAGGGATGAAGGCCTGAACAAAGCATGGATAATAGACAAGAAGAGGACTTTGGTTAAAGTAATTGTGCTGTCTCTTTCTGGTGGATCACTGTAAAATCTTCATGAGATGGGATGATTCCCTATAAAGGAGTGACAGAGCATGTATTTGAATTATGGGAAGTATGAGGGAATCCCAGATGTGAAGACAAGCACTGGAAAATGGCTAAAGATGTGACTGGAGGAGCCAAGTTCATGGAAACAGAAGGAGTAGATTGGATTAAGTGAGAGAATTGTGAAGAACCAAGAAACAATGTTGAGAAGCTTTAAGGTGCACCTGTGACTTGGTGTCAGGACTCAGAGGCAGATTGGGCATTTTGACAGGGGAGACAAGGTAGAAGCCTATTTAAAACTGCAAGGAACTGGGAAGCACTGAAGATGAGGAATAGAAATGCTGGGAGAAACATACTTTGGGAGAGACTGCTGGAGTTCTGAAGCTGTTGGATGGGAACCTGCTATGCATTTGGTAAACTGAATGAAAAAGATGTAGGTTGATAGGAAAGGAAAGAGCTGTTTTGATGCAGGAATGAGAGAAAGCATTTAAGAAATTTATGCTGGGCTCTCAGATGGTTCATACAGCTGAACCCTTGGAAAGGCTGATAACATGAGCACATTTCTCAGAATGCTCCAGGGAGGCACTACTGTCTCCTTTTTTAATGATGAGAAGTCAGAGCACAGAAATCCTAAGTTCAATTGCCTGAGGTCACATATATTTTTCTGACACAGCCAAGAAGGAATGTGCCTTTTGAATCATATGCCAGCATCTTTAACACATTACTGCTGTTCCTTACAGCAGTGGTGAGAAGAGATGCAGGAGCAGGGAAGGAAAAAGAAGGAAAAATCATATGGAAAAGTCAACTGGGGACATAGGCTAGTTCCAGATTATACTGGATCACACTGGTTTTTTTCTCCTGTTTTCAACAGCTGTATGTGTACCTACTGCTGCAAAGGCTTCCTGGCTCAGCTGGAGCACAGGTGAATGTTAATTCCAGGCTAAGCTCTGGTCCAGGCAAACTGAGGCTGCATCTGCCTGGAGGGCTGCCCAGCTCACAAATCCAGGCCGACTCCAGCTGAATTTGTGCAGAGCCAATCTGGTTATCAGTGACTTGTATAATCAGGCATACAAAAGACATCTGAGGGACTCTATCCAGATCCAGCAGAACTGTGTGAGTGCTGCAAGCTCAGGCTGGCGTCAGCACTGCTATTCTGTAATGGCTTGAAAGAGAAGGCACTGTGAAATGTGAATGAGCAAAATCAGCCAAGATACAGCATGGGCCTCAAGGGGAAAGTCAGTGCACGAAAGTAGCATTGTGTAAAACCAGGACGAGTCTGGCCAGCTCTGACTGAGCTGCTGGGATGCTTGTGTGCAACATACCCCATCACATCCTGTGTTATCCAGGCAACAACCAGGTGTTTCCAGTCCTCTACAACCTAAAATAATGGCATGCTGTCAATCTGTACTTGAAAACAAAAGACTGCAGATGGATGTTGCAAACATCACCAGTGCTTCTGGTGGTTAGACAAGAAAAATGTGCGTAAGTTAAAGGCCATGCCAAAAGCTGCAACCTCCTGGTAGGATATTAACTGATGGAAACATAATGGAACAGACTTGAAACTTTCAGACATATTTGCAACACTGAAGGACGGTGGAAGGTTCTGGAGAACATTGGAGAAGTATATTTAATATGGGCTTGTCATTTCTGGAGCAGCAGGGCTGCAAGCATGTGTCGATTCAATGTTTAGACGTGCTGCATCTGCTGTAACATAGCTCCTCTCTTCTGGAATAGCTTGATGAATTATGTTGTAGTTTGCAAAAGTTACTCAAGTTGGATGAGTTTCAATCCTATAATTCAAACATATTTGCTTCCCTCCCAAAAATATGCAGCCAAAAGGAAAATAATAAATAGATACAGAAGTGCACAGGATCCAAAATTCTGTGACTTTGAAGTGTAGTTTTCATGTGCCTTTTGCATTATTAATTTGAAGGCTGTAAGACCCACAACCAAAAATGGCACTAGAATTGGGGATCAGGAGATACTATTGACATGGCAGAATCCAAAATGTCTTTTGGCAGGCTTTTGACTTGTTAAAATGCACTCTTTGCAGCCTTGACCTCAAATCTGTCCCTCCTTCCTCATGTTTTCTTCCACCCACAAAGAAGACATTAGCTAGGTTTCCCAGGGTACTTGTTTTTTAAAAGATGGAGCAAGGTTGTGCTAGGTAGCAACAGGAATTTGCCACCAGTAATTAAAATATGAGTATTCCCTTTGTTTTTGGCAGGTTTTGGCAGGCATGAGTTGAACCAAGATTTTAAAACTCAGCCATCTGAAACAAGAAAGCTCAGGAGAAATCTGCCAGGCAGCTGACATGATAGGATACCTGAATGAGTGCCTGGCTATAAATATTGCTTGTGATGTGCTTTGCATAAGCTTCATTTTTAGTATCCCTTTACCATGGACACAGTGTTCCTTTCAAGCAGGCACCAGGCAAAGGGAGGTGAGGTCAGCAGAGCAGCTGGGTGCTCTGCCCCCAGGCACTGCTGCCAGCTCTGCTCTTTGGCAAAGGGGTGGAGGGAGGAACTGGCACACTTCACTCTTGTCATGTGTTCTAAGATCAAATATTCTCAACTTCAGGTTTGGTAGAAGCTGAGCAGATGTGATAGGGATTTCACTTACTTTTCAGATTTCAAGGTCTGGTGCTTTTGTTGGGATAGTGATAGAGATCAGAGGAAATCCTAATGCCAGACTTTCCTAGTTTGGGGTCTCCCCAGACTTCAGATTTGTTCTTAGGAGGATGGATGTAGTTCAAGCTCATGTGCTTTCTGTGAAGTGTGGTTTATAGCTCAGTTTTTCTGCCAGTTCTGGGAAGAAGCTGAGCAGAGGAGAGGCCTGTTCTGGCACATACACATTGAAGAAGCAGAGAGTATGAACAGGAAAATGTTTTGTTTCAGGGTTGGGTCACCACAGGCTCATAAAAGACTAAAGGCCAAGCTTTTCCAAGCAAGACTAGATATGCCAAAATATCAAAGGAGGAGCTGCTGGTGGAATAGTTCCAGCCCAGCTGGAAATACTGGAGATCACAGTAGAAAATTGAGAATGATTCCAAAAACCTTATTCCTGATCTTAGTCCCAGCAGAGCTGATTTCATGATTTACAAAGCCAGAGGAGATAGACAGACTGAACAGTCATGATTGAGTATTCAGTGTTGCTATTCAGTATCTGGAACACATTTAGGAGTAGTAGCTATGGGTTAGACTTCTTTGTGGTGTGTGCTGAGAACCATAGAACCCAGGAGTGATGGTCCTTGGACCAGAATTTTTAAACAGGAACCAAATGAGATGCATCCAGATCTCTTTGACTAGGAATCATCCAAAACAACACTGAACACAAATGGGTGATGGACTTGAAAAATCATTATTTCAGTTAAAAATCTGAATCAATCATTTTATGTCATTGCTGGGAGGATTACATTACATCCATGAGTCTGCTTTCCTTCAGGGTACATTCCCACTCTCCACTTGTGGCCTAGAAGACTCTTGAAGTAGGAACCATCCAATTATGTGTACAGCATTGAGCTGTACAGAGTTAACAGGTCCCAGCCCTGTGTTTAGGACTGCTGATTGCTGCAGTCACAGTTAATAAGGAATTGTGCTCAGATACTATTATGAAGAGTTGAAACTGAATTTGAAAATAAAAGGCTGTGGGATAGAGTAGAATAATCTCTATCTTTGTCATTGTAACAGAAAAGGGGTTTTTTCCATTTAAAGTACCAGAGAAATACAATTCAGCCTGTCAGTTCTAAAGTATAGCTTTTCATCCAAGTTTGCTGTGACTATTACAAGAGGGGACTCTGTACTAAACTGTAAAATGCTGGCTGCTGTTTCCAGAGATCCCTGTGCTCTTGCTTTGGCTTTCACCTTCTGCTTTCCCTGCTTTTTTACGTGTCCTTTTGCTGATCACAGGAGCTGGTGCTGACTTCGTCATGATTGGAGGAATGTTTGCAGGCCATGACCAGAGTGCTGGAGAAATTCTAGAAAGGAATGGCAAGAAGGTGAAACTATTCTATGGAATGAGCTCTGATACAGCCATGAAGAAGCATGCAGGAGGGGTTGCTGAATACAGGTATGAATTCCACACGGGAGCAATTGCAGTGAGCCCTCCATCCAGGAACTTTTGGAGCAGAATTGGGCAGAAGGAAACAGGCCTATGCTGCTACTCCCATCGAAGCAGCTGTTGCCTACATTTACAGCAGCAGATCTGAGGGAGGGGTGACATCAGAGGGAGACAGGGAGAAAGAGGTGGGGTTGGCTGGCTGAGAGCAGTGATATTCACTTGTTTGCAGCTGGTATGGTGTGCTGTCACTGCTGCACCAGTTGTCTGGTCTGGGAAGTCATTAGGCACTCTTCTGACTTACTGCTCCTTCAGGATGTGTATGAACTAAATGCTGGAACATGACATAGCAGCCTGCAGTTTCTGTCCCTCTGCTTGTCCACATTGGGTGTCTTCTTGGTGTAGGGATTCCCAGCTAGCCCACAGGCTCCCTTCTGCTTGCAGAAGGTGGGTGCTGGTGAGCTGGTGAAGCTCAGCTGGGGTTTCCCCAGTACAGAGATGAGGACCAGGACTTCCAAAGCATTCAGACACCAGCAGCAGCTCTGGGACTCCCTTCTGCGTTTTTTGGGCAGTCTTCATAGGCAGCAGAAGCCTGCTGTACAGTTTTTCCAGCCCTCTTTTGGTAACAGAGCATCAGAGTAGCCTCAAATAATGCAGAATGCAGAAGCTTCCTTTTTGAGCTAACTCCTCAGGGGGGAGGTAAGGAAGACAGATTTTGCAAAGAAATCTGTTGTCCATTGCTGTTTTACTCTGGAAAGTGCTGACAATGTTGACTTCTTGGAAAAGCAGATGACATCAGAAAACCTCTGTGTCTTTTCTGAGTGGCAGTCTCGGTCACTACCATTGGACAACATGGTTCTTACATACTTCATTGGAGAATGACTCCTGTCTTACAGTAAACACTGGTTTATTGAGGGGTCCCTTTTGATTCTTCTCTGCTGGCATAGATTCAGGCTCTGGTCCCATCTGGTAAATTGCTGTTTGCAGGCGTCTCAGTACACCTGCACTTCCAGCCACACACTGGGGGTTGATGAGTTTTGTTGGCCTCATCTGCTACAGCCACTCCAGGATACAAGTTTTTCCCAACGTGTCCTGCTGCTACCATGGGTAAGAGTTTCAGCTCTGTGAAGGCGACAGCACACAATGTAAAGCAGAATGAGATCCACAAAATGAAATGGAATTCATGCTTTGACACAGAGATAAGCTGATAGATAGCAATCCCAGATGTCATGCTAGATAGAAGGATCTTTGATCCCACCTCCTGTTCTCCACCCCAGCATTGACTCCTGTGGTGGTTTTCCTCTGCACCATAAAATTGTGTATTTGTTCACATAGCACTTAGTGGAGTGCAAAGTGGTAAAACTTAGCCTCTGTCAGAGCATTTACAACCTAGATTGTGGCCTAGTTCATGGCATCACAGAACCATTTGGGTTGGAAGGGACCTTTAAGGTTCATCTAGTCCAACATCCCCATAATGAGCAGGGGCATCTTCAACTAGATGAGTTTGCTCAGAACCCTGTCCAGCTTGGCCTAGAGTATTTCCAGGCATGGGACATCCACCAGGTCTCTGGGCAACCCATTCAGTGTTTTTGCTTTCAAACAGAACTGGTTTTTGCAGAAGAAAGAGCTGCACGAGATGCCATCTGCATCTGAGACAAGCTGAAATGGTACACCAGACAGATGTTGCATATCTCTGAGTTTTGATTCACTTTGGGTTCATATGCCACTGCCCAGAAGCAGTGCGCAGTCTGGGAGCTCTTTTTTCTTTTTTTGTGCCCTAGCAAGTCTACTTGTCAGCAAAGCCTCAGAACAAATGGTCTGAGTGGACAGCACTAATAAGTGTCTCTTAGTATAAAAGTGGCAGCTGCCAGTTGCACAGTTGTGCTGGCAGCCTTTACCTGAATGATCATTTCCTGCCCTGTGCTACCCTGAGCTTGAGTCCGCTGGAGTGTGGGAAAGGCCTGATGCTGCTCAGGCCTGTGGTTATTGGCATTTCCCTGAGAGCCAATGTGCTCACTGAGCAGCCCAAATGTGCTGCCAGATCTCAGTGCAGCACAGTCCTTAGGGACTGGCCTCCACAGAGCTGGTGAAAGATGCAGGAAGAGTTTGAGAAGGCTGGCTGTACCAAGAGGACAAAGGACTAAGGCAGCTCTTAAATTCTGTTCTACCTAATTAGGTGTGTGTGATCTGGCAATAAAATTTATTGCCAGCAGGAGAACTAATTGACACTGGTCCCTCTTAAAAATGAAATAAAGTGCAAGTATCCCATCTTGTAGGAGCAAAGGTTATACAGAAAGGTGCTGTATTTGGCTCAGTCTAGACAGACCTTTTAAAGTCATTATGTGCAATGCTATACAAATTTGGCTTGATCCATAGCTGTATTTTGATTTGCATCCTTGATTTGAGAATTTCTTGGGGACCAGGTTCTGAAACTTTCTCAGCAGCAAGGGAGCAGGAGCACCATCTGAAATTTTTAGTCTCTGTTGAAATACTACCTTTCTGCACCACTAATAGGTAGCATGGAGGAGTCTCCCAGTGTACTGCTAGATACAACAGCTCCAGACACTAAATCTGTGAGCCTTGGGTCTTTACTGGGGAAGTGCTGATACTCATCTTCACTCTGCAGCCATGACACTGACCTGGCTGCCTGTACCAGCCTTGGGCTCAGTCTTCCTTGGCCTGTCCCAGCATGAGTGTCACTGTGGTTTAAAAATAGCAGCGGCTAAATCCAGCATTGTAAATGTGCTGGGCATTGAAGGGGGATTTGAAACAGCACAAGGTTGCCCTTATAGTAAAAGTTACAGGAAGTTTAATCACTTCCTAGTTTAGCTGATGGCAGGCTTGAACCAAAAGGGTTCTTAGTCAGCATTTTAAATGCTGGATACCCCAAACTTGACCCAAACAGGTCAAGTCAGTGGGGCTCCTTTATATGCATTTAAAAAGCCCAGCTGTAAGTCTGTATTGGTGACCCAAATAAGCTGTTTTGTCTTTAAAAGAGCCTGAACACTCACAGTGTGTTATTGGAGCAGTGGGGAGCTCAGTGTGCTCAGTCCCCTGCAGAATCAGACTGCTTGTCATTTAACTTCATCTTCTCAAAATTCCACATGTTGGCTGGAGAACCTGAGCCTGCAGCAGCTACATTAAAACTGACAGATAAGGTGAGATGGCTGTGGCAGGGAATAAAAGTCATGAGAGTAATTGTTTTTGTAATGAATATGTCAAGCTGATCCCATTTAATCTGTGTACTCACTTTCATTTATCTTATGTCATTTATATATTGGCTTATCTTTACATTTTCACCTCCTTCCATGAGGAATATGGATCAGAGCTGGGGATTTCTGAAAGGCAGTTGTTATGTTTCTTTTGTGGGAGAAGAGAAATAAGGCAAGCAGGGTCTGAGGATGCATGCAGTATTACTCAGTTCGAGTCAATTTGTTTTTGTTAATCCTTTTGAAATTTCACAGGTTTTGTGTGAATGCTGCAGTTCTATTGTGGCCACTCAGCAATTCACAGCTGCTGTTAAACTGGGTTTGGGCACTTTATATTAACTGCAGGGTGAAATTTTGGCCACAGAGACAGAGTAGCACCAACTGCCAGCTGCTGCTCACCATCTTGTGTATCCCAAATGATAGCCTGGAAGACCTGCCCCTAGTTCCTCCATTTCTTATATGCCCCACTCAAAAGATTGCTTCATGCCAGGGCAGCCTGACCCCTTTATTCTGACCCACATTTTGCTGGGCTGACAGAGCACCATCTCATGTGTTTCATCCCATGCAGCCTGCCAGGATTCCCACCCACCACACACATCCCTCCATGCAGCAGCCTTCAGCTGGCCAGGAGGGGCACCACAGACTGGGCCCTGTGCAAAGAGTCTGAAGCAAATTGTTTTCTCTTTCTGTTCAGTGGCTGGCAAGAGTCAGAGTTACTGCTGAGAGCATCTGAGCACACCTTTCCCAGCCGCTGGGAGCCTCAATTGCTCTGTCATCACCTTTCTTTCTGAGAAGGGGTTACTTTTGGGTCATAGCTCCAGGAGAGATGTCAGAGCAGCAAAACCCTCAGCAGCTCCTGCTGACTTGCTTATGCAGCTCTCTGCCAAGTGTGCCAGCTTTTGTGACAGCCCGTGTAATGCATTGTCATGGTTTATCCCAGCAGGCAGTAAACACCACGCAGGCACTCGCTCACTCCACCCCCCAGTGCGATGGGAGACAGAATTGGGGAAAAAACAGCAAAATTCATGGCTTGAGATAAAGACAGTTTAGTGGGACACAAAGGGAAGGGATAATAACAACAGCAATAATAATATACAAAACAAGTTATACACAATTTTTCACCACTCGCCAACCAATACCCAGCCAGTTCCTGGGCAGTGGCCCCAGCCAGCTTTCCCCCCTAGTTTATATACTGAGCCTGTTGCCGTATGGTATGGAGTGTCCCTTTGGTCAGTTTGGGTCAGCTGTCCTGGCTGTGTCCTGTCCCAACTTCTTGTGCCCCCCAGCCTACTTGCTGGTGGGGTGGTGTGAGGAAGAGGAAAGTCCTTGACTTGCAGTAACCACAGCTTGGCAGTAACTAAAACACTGGTGTGTTGCCAACACTGAGGGCTGTCCACGGGACACAGTTCCTTTACAGCTGTCCCTTTTCTAGCATGAGTCACACAGGGACTACGCTGCCTTTGGGAGTGCACTGCGCGTCTCCTCAGGTGTGTCCAGGTGTGTCTCCTCTACCAGTGGCCATTGCTGTTTCATAAATACACTTGAGGAGAGGTGTCATGTGCTCCTCTGACTTGCTGAAAGTTTGGTGGCTCACACCATTTTTGGAGCCAGGTGGAACATCTCTGGAATGATGCCGGCCGTGGCCTTATCCCACACAAGTCACACTGGCCCCCCATGTCACCTGAACCCTGCTGTGTTTGCCCAGCACAGCACCCATGTGGGTGCTGGTGGAAGTCAGCTGGGTGCTCATCACGTTGGGCACTCATGAATGTACTAACAGGGTGTTTGGACATAAATAATTTGGGCATGCATGCATGAACTGATTGGATGCTTATGCAGAAATTATTGGCTATTCATGCATGAATTAATTGGGCACTCCTGCATTAATTTATTCAGTGCTCATGCATGAACTAGTCTGGCACTCACACAAGAGCACAGCAAGCCCAGTAATTCATGGCCTATACGTCACTCCTCGGGAAAGCACGCATTGGGGAGCCCTTAGAAGGTTAGTCCAGTATGAACTCTTTGGACATCATCACAGTCTTAACGTACATAAGTTAAAAACTCCATTTTTCCTCCCTATGGACCAGCCACCAGGGATTGATACTGTAGCAGTTCACTTACTAAATGTCTCTCCTCCATCCTGAGCACTGTGTTAAAGGGGTTAACATTTGGTTTTATAGCCCTATGGATACAGATCCCACCCCTGGGCCAGACTACAGCAATTAATAGTGCACCAGTGTGTGCATACATGTAGTGAAATTCCACCCACGCTTCCCTGGGAACCAGATGACTTCTCAGCTCAGTCTGAGCAACATGTTATCTATTAAAAACCCCTTTCCTCTGGGGACAAGACTATTGGGGTTAATGTTAGCACAGCTTGAGTATATATTCATCAGAAACTTCATCCCCTTATCTCTGTGGACAAGGCTGTGGAGCTAATCTCACACCTCTCTTCTAGTGTGTTTTCCCCAGTATGATGTCTACAGGTTACTCCTTGATCAACAGGACATCCCACCAGCTGACTCTGGAGGAGCAATAGCGAGGGTTTAGCTGTCAGAGCTTTGGGGCTGTGTCATTAGGTGTTCACCACTTCTGTAGATCTTGGTCTCCAAAGCCTTAAGTGGCAACCCACAGGCTTCAGCTTCCAGACACCATTGTAGCCACTGCAGGGATCTCTCCCAGGGGCAGTGGCTGTAACCATCACCCATTTCTGTATTTTTTCACTGAAAAAAGGACCACCAAGCACTCATGTTCATAGGAGCAGTGTGCAGCTTATGACCCACAGGATGCTTAAGCACAAATTAACAGGGAATTTACATTTACTGATGGTGCATTCATGCATCAGCTAATTGACCTCTCATGCATGAACTGAATGGGCGGCCATGCACGAATGCAGTAAACCCTGCGCTCCTTGCACAGAACAGCATGCAGGGCTCTTCAGGTGGGAGGACATGGTAGAATTTGCACTGGTTTCTGCAAATCCCAGACATGGCACTGTCTCTCACAATCTTGCAGGAAGCTCCCTGGAGCCTGAGCTCAACCTCCCAGTTTTGACTGGAAGAGATGGGCATGGCCAAAAGCAGGAACAGTGGCATGAGTGTCGTTTCAGCCTTTTCCTTCTGGCACTGGAGCTGAAAATAAAAGCCTGGGAACTCCCAGCAGCAGAGGCCATACAACAGACCCCTAAGCCCTGTGCAGTCTGCAAGATGCCAGTGGCACATCCATCTTCCACTGGCCACTCACTGCAGTGCTTATTTAAGAGTTTCAAGAAAGAGTCAATTACTCATCAGATGTAGGGAGATTAATCATGGCTCCTTACTTGCATGGCATATCCACACTTTGCCTTTATTGTCTCCCTAGGGCTGTGACCTCACATTTAAACTAACAGGATGAAATATAGGCAGGCTCACACTGAAGTACCTCCACATAGCAGCTGTTGCTGTTGTTAATGATTCACAAATGGAGCCTACAAACAGGCATGCCCTTTCTTGTACTATCCCCTGGAAACTTTTAAGGAAGAAGCAAATAAAGCCACATTTAGAATAATGAAAGACTGCTGCCATGATTTCTGCCTCCATTTTGTAGGGCAGAAGGAAAGCATCTCCTCATCTGTCTTAGACCCTCCCTTTCCAAGGCTTCCCTTCCCAGAAGAGCCAGTGTGCCAGGCAGGACAAGCTTACTCTAAAGTGTAGTGGGATCACTGCTGATGCCACTGATCAGCTCATAAAGGGTCTCTGTTACAGGAGGGATTGCTGAATATGGGGCTGGAGAAAGCTGGAGGAGGAGTGGAAGTTATTTGCCTGGATTCTTCCATCGTGTAACTCTTTCAGATGTGCTTTTTGGGAACAGTGTAGTCTGTGCTGGCATGCACCAGCACTTGACAGTATTCACAGCATTGGTATTTTTCTGGCCTTTTTGCCTGGCACTGAATTGTGCTAGATCACCTTTTAGCTTCAAGGGACAGCTGTGCAGCAGGTTTCTGTAACAGGTTTCCTGCTCTCTCTCTCTCTCTGTGAGCTCTGGAGAATCACACTAGTAGGAGACAGCCGGAGCACTTCCATCTGTGGCTGATCAGTAACATGGGACAGAGCCCAAGGGCCATGAAGCCTCTGTAGAACTGTGCTGGGTGGTGTCTGCTGAGAACCAGCTCCAACATTTCTCTGTTTGAGTCTGGCCGTTCCTTACACTTTAAGGTTGCAGCTCTCACAGTCAAATTTACTTTTCAATAAAGCTGGAAGTTCCACTTGCTTGTAGGCAGATGGTAGAGGGGAGGAAGGGGCAGATCTGTAAATAAACTCATGGGATATTGGAGCATCTACAAGATCTGTCTGCTTCTACTTCTCAGTGTTGGTGGTGAGTGGAACTGAGGCATTTCAGTGCTTGAGAGCACCAAGCAGCAGCAAGCAGTAAAGCTGGGGGCACGTTTGTAAACTGCAGCCCGCAGAGTTCAGTGCCACAATTCTCCATTAAACACACTCATGTTTTGCATCCATATGAATGCAGTGACTGATCTCTTCTGCAGGGCTTCAGAGGGCAAGACTGTGGAGGTGCCATATAAAGGGGATGTGGAACACACCATCCTGGACATCCTCGGGGGGCTGCGCTCCACCTGCACCTACGTGGGAGCTGCCAAACTGAAGGAACTGAGCAAGAGAACGACGTTTATCCGGGTCACCCAGCAGCACAACGAGGTCTTCTCCTAGCCTAGGCCTGGGGGGCTGGAGAGAGGGCTGGGGAAGAAGAGCAGGAAGGGCTGCTCTCTTCCTTTGCTTTCTCCTCCATCTTGTGTTAGTGGCAAACTTCCCTCTCTCTCTCTCTCAGAACAGCAGTGTCATAGCCATTGGCTATGGCTGGGATTTGGAAGGGGAAGGTCATGCTATTAACACAATGCCATTGATTCAAAATGCAATTGCCTCATCTTTTATCATTGTGCCTATTTTATTTTTTAGTCATTTCTTCACCTGTTTTTTTCCCCCCTCTGATAAAAAGCTGCTGAAACCTCAGTTAACAAGGAATTGGCTTGTACAGACATGGCTGTTGACGCCTGCACACATTCACACATTCCCTTTTCTAAGACTGACCTGTCAGCTACCACCACTTTCTGGCAGTGCACCTTTCAGAAATTGCAGGCTGGGAGAGAAAAAGATGCAAGGAATTGCATGGACAAAAAAACCCTCAAATTCTCTTCATCTTTTTTCTGGCTAAAGAACAGATGATATGGCACAGCTGCCAGAGGTGGATGGTAGATGAGGCCTGGCTGCTGGTGAGATGTGATGCTAAAAACACCAGATCTCTGTCACTTTCAGTTCACAGGGCTGATGTTGCTGTTCTTTCTTAAACCTCCCTGTTCAATGGACTTGCCCCTTCAGAGAAGCGGGCACTGAATGTAGCAAAACCGTGCTGGCCCCCGTGCCCCCGTCTGAGGAGATCATTCAGGTGACCACTTTTCAGAGCTTGCCTGCTTTATCATAAGTGCAGTTATTGAATTACCTGGGTTCCTGCTTTTACCTTCTCTCTGGGAACAGGTTTTTAAGATATTGAAACTCAGCAACTGTAAGCCTGACATGGGGGGACGATTCTTTGTAGCCCTCCCTGTTCCCTTGCCTGCTCACATCCATTTAGCAAAGATGTAAAAACACTGTGCAGTGCATTGTCTGTGGCCAGGTGGAGGAGGCCAGAGGGATCAAATTGCCTTCTGGTTACGTGGTACCACTCCTTTGCAGTCCTTGACATCATGTAAAGCAAGAGAGAGCTTTTGGCAGAGCAGCCTGGTTGATTGCAAGACACTATCAGGCTTAGATGGAGTTAAAGCATTTGCTCTAAAGGCAGTAGTGAATATTTGAGACTCTGAGTAACACCTCAATAAAGTGTAATGGCCTGATAATTAATTGATAAATCACAATGAAAATTTCTTTGGAAATACACATTGCATCCACATGAATACCACAGTAGCTCAATATGATAAATGATGTAAAAGTGAGCACCAATGAATTAATAATGCTTGGCCACTTACTTTAAACTGCTGCTGAGATCATAATGCAGCTGATGTTACTTCAGTACTTCAGAGTCTTACTTTCCCCTCCTGTAGACATCTGTGGAAAGAGGCAGGCTTTCTTTGAAAAGCAAAAAAGTGATCTGTAGGAAAAGGAATAGCAAAGAGAAACTCTAGAATTAAACTTATACGCTGGACCGCTCAAAAAGCCAGTCACAAGGACTGGTACAGTTAACCATGCTGAGAAGCAAATCCAGGCCACAAGCTGATCCCTGGTGATTTTTCAGTGTGTTGTGCACATTAGAAAAAGCAGAGGGTATCTTCTAAATTTCCTGGTATTTAACATGTAGGATGTACTTCTTAATTGTGGGATGACCTCTTCCTCTGCTTTGGAAGAGAACGAGGGCCTTGATGTGAGCACATGTTATGCTTGTGCTGGCTGCAAGGACCATTTGTCTTGCCCACACATCATAAAGGAATGTGAATGCAGAAGAGAAGCAGGCCCTATGAATCCAGGCCCTGATCTCTCCAGTTCCCTCCAGCCTGGAAGCATCATGTTAAGAGAATGCCAGGCTTCTCCACCACAGAAAGGCACCATGGTCCACCTGCTGCTCTCAGCTGCACTAGGCCCAGAGCAGGGCAGTGTGACCTCTCTGCATCAGTTCAGCTGTGGGACAGCACTGCTCTCTGTTTATGTGATGTAGAGGGGGAGCAAATGGACACCTCTGTCAGGAGTGGGGCTGGACCACCACGGCCCAGGCCTGACCACAGGTGTGTCTCCACACTGGTGCCTTCACATGTGGGAAGTGCAGCACTCTGCTGGTCTCATGCCCACTCTCACTAGCGCTTTTCTACTTTTTTTAGCTACATTTCTAAGTGGAATTTAAGAAATCCGTATGCATATAAGAAAATATATATATTTGTAAACATTTTTTTAAAAGATCATGCGCACACCAAACCAAGCAGCTTTATGATGGCCTCAGAACAGTTTCTTTTCCAAAGGGCAGGTGCTGGGGACAAGGGGAGGCTGCCTCTCTACAAGTGTGGCAAATGGGGCCACTCTTCCACCTCCTTTCCTTCTCCTCCTGCACATAACTCTGATCAGTGACTAATAGGACAGGGACAAGCTATTCTTAAGCTGTCCCAGAAAATTCTTCAGTCTATGAATGACATTTGATGCCATGAATGGTGATTGATAAAGTTTTGATGTTAGGTATTTGGTTTTCTGAATAGCAGGTCTTACCACTGTTTTGATAAGCAACATGTTTTCTTTCATTTTCTCCTCTCCAAAAGTGAGCAGGAGAGAGAAATGAGATGCAGAAAGGCTGAACTGGTGGCATGTCTGCATCTCACCCAGTTATATGTGAATTTTGTTCAGGAATAACCCTTAGCTATGTCAGTGCTTATCACTGACACTGTATATGTGCAGCTCTGAGACAGGCTGGAAAATACAAAAAAACACTGGAGTCCCCTTTAACACCTATTCCTGTGCTGCAGCTCTTGCCCTGATCTTCACTTAGCTCCAGGTCCTGTACCCTGCTCAAGCCTGCTGCCACTCCCACAAGGAACGGAGGCAGAGGGAACCAGGAACACGCTTTGTCTGGCAGGACGGTCCAAGTCAAGACCACAACCACTGACAAATGCCATGTGCCATTTTTAGATCTACCTCACCTGCACATCTAACTGGGTTTTTTGTTACTTGGTGTCCTTTTGTGGGAAAAGAAATTTTTAAACTGCTTAATAATTCTTAATGTTGTCATTCTGCATAACCAGGCCTTCTTTAATCCTACACTCCAACCCCATCCTGTCCAGAGGAATGCTGTGAGTGTGACAGCCTGTACTGCAGGCCAGGGCCATGCCTGCTTCCCCAGCCAGGCAATTGTTGGGCTCCCAAGAGCAGTGTTGAGGTTCCCACTGGATCCACAGGGGTGCAGTTTGACATACCAAAGACCTACAAGTGGGGATGCTGAAAAGGGCAACATTTTGTCATCAAGCAATCCCTGCTGAGCATGTCTGCCTGTGGCTTCTTGGAACATAAGGACACCTCTGACAGCCCTGGCACTCCCAGTGCTGCTCTGGGGTTGCCTTGCTGCAGCACATTTTGCAGGATGGGCTCCTGCCCACAGAGCCTGGTTACCAGAACTCTCCTTGGGAGGGAAGGGCTCGGCACAGGAGCGGCCTTGCGCACTCCCCGGTGACTCTGTGGTGGCTGCAAGGAGTGCACTGTGCAAGTGGACACCTCCTTGTAGGTGTGAATAATTGCTAAAGGGGTGGGCTTGAGCCAGCATCCTGACAGATGCAAAACAAGCCACCAAGGTCTCCATTCTCTGGGAGAAACGCATTCCCATCTGCTCATTGGAACACCCAATGGGGCAGGGGCTTTGGCCGTGCTTTGGTGTCACTTTCTTCTCCCTCAGGGCATGGTGGGGTTGAATGTAGGATGGGGACACCCTGTAAATATGGAGAGTTAAAAGGCAGGATCAGAAGAAGCCTCTGTTTGCCTTTGGGGGAGCTTTTCCTATATAAAATGTGCCTGTCTCTTCTTTAAGCTAGTCAGTAGCAGGGGTAGAAAGGATGAGGATAAGGAAGAAATGTGGCAGCTGTTGGCCAAGCCCCACTGTGTTGGGACAGGTGCTTTCAGTCAAGGACATGATGAGAGTTTGAAGCTTTTCTGAACCAAGCACTCCCTACTTTATACCTGTTGAACTCCACTCTTGTGACAGACTTGTTGCTGCAGCTTTCTGCCGCTGTATGTACAGTGTCTATCCATCACCATCTCACATCCCCCACCGGGGGATGGTGCTGTTTAGTTGCTAATACCAGTTTTACACCAAAAATTCTCTTTTGGAGCCAGGAGGGCTTTTGAAGCCAGTGCCAGATTTGGCCTTGTGTAGAAGAGAAGTGGAGGGGGGAAAATGCCAGGGCTCAAGAACAGGGGTTTTCCCTCTGCAGCAGCCAAGGCCAGCAGGTGGGAGAGGGCCAGCCCTTCCCTGCGGGCTGGGAGCTGGCAGGGGCAGCAGGGTTGAAGCGTGTCTTGAGTAGATGCTGGCACAGCTCTACACTCAGGACAGGCCACTCCCTGCAGCCTTAGCTTCATTTGTGGTGATGCTTAATCGAGCCCTCCCCAACATTTATTTGACACAGTGTTTGCTGGCCAAAGTTTTCATACATAAATCAGTTTGGAGTCCAGGACTCCATGGTGTTGCCTGTGATAACTGTGAAGCGCTTCTGTGTCATTGGCCAAAAAGCTGCTGGGCTTTCAGTGTTTTTCTGCCCTGCTCAGCCCTGCTGAGATGGTGATGAGATGCTGCCCCCTTTCCCTCTGCTGTGGCATCCCCGTGTGTGCTGCCCAATCATCCCAACTGCTCCCAAGTTTTTGTTATGCAATAAAAAGCTTCACCCTGACGGGCTGCAGAGCGTTGTATGGCCATGGGGTGGGTGGGTACAGGCCGCCTTTGGGAATCGTCACAAATAAAAGCCAATGCTCTCAAATGCATTGCCAGGGCAGGGCTGGGGGAGGACTGGGCAGGGAATTAAACTGGGCAAATTATGTCCCTAGGAAAGCTCTCTCCCCTTCAGTCATAAAAGACAAAACACACATTTGCAATTGGCACTGTTATTTTATTAGTACGAGTATACTGAAACAATAAACTTGTACTGGTATACAGACAATTTCTTTAAAACAATTTTGTTCAAATTTTGAATCAAACATTGTTTTATTATAATAATGAAATAATTTCTACCTAGAAAACCTGCAAGCACCATCAAAGAAAGGGACCATAAAATTCAATAAACAGACGCGAGTGTATCCTACAAATAGACACACCACCATTAGAAAATAGAATATGAATTCTTCCATTTTTTTTAATATTTGTTTTAAAAAAGCTAGTGCAAGTACAATATTTTACACTGGAATTACAGAGAGTATGCACGCATATGGAAAAAAGTTCTCCTGTCACAATAAAAGCTCTTAACTATGTCTGTATGCACTTAAAATCTTCTCCTCTTTTCAATAAGGTGCAAAACGTTATTCCCTCCCTATTTTCTCCTTTGTACTGGCCATGTCAGCTCAATTTCTCCCCAACACAAAGCTGCGATATCCCTTTTACTGGGCCTACACTAGGAACTACACTGGAAGTGTGATTTGCAACAACCCTCATTAGTAATACTAGACAATTAAAAAAAAAAATTACTTTAAAAACTACTGATGTCTAATGGCTGGACCTGACCCCGGCTCGGCCAAGCGCCGTTGCCAGCTGCTGCCGGGAGCGGTGACATAGCTAGTACAAAATGGATTTCAGTAGCTCACCCAAACTGAAAAAGGTTGGGAAATTCCCCCACCCCCACTTTTGTAACACTGCGAAAAGAACAGTGTTCAGCAAGTTAATACATTATTAAAAAAAAAAAAAAGGAGCAAATACATACATTAGTGAGTTTCAACATTAGCTGACTGTCGTGAAGAGTTGCATCTATGCCTTACCAGATTAGTAACTTCGCGAAGCACCTGGCTGTCCGAGCCACCTGCAGCCACCCTCGGCCCATTTTTGCCCTCAGCTGCCCAGATCCAAACCTGGTGGACTGGAACAAGAATTCTGCAGAGCTTGTTCAACGGGAGAGTACCTGGGCCCTGGACTTTTAAAGCAAATGCCAGGGTGGAATCCCCTCGCCAGCAGGTGTGAAGGGGCAGACCTACACTGCCGGCAGAGCCAGTGGTCCCACCCTGGCTCCACCCTGGCTGGGGATCTGGGCCCTGAAGTTTCTGCCCATCACCAGTCTCGTAGTACAGCAAGGACAGCTTCAACAAGTGACTCCGCTCGCTGCAAACAACACTTCCAATGCACACCTACTGCGTGGTCGAGGGAAAGGGCACAGGAGCTTTAACTGCTCAAAATAGAAACTAACAAAAAAGAAACAACCTTGGATGAAGCCTCCAAAAAATCCTCAGTGGAAGACTTGCGTCCTTTCAGCTAACAACAAGAAAAAACCTACGGAACCCTTAGAGACAGTTATTGTATAAATACTACCTGTTGGCTGAATGCACTTCACCGTGACACAACTGGGGCTGGTTTCTGAGTGCCCAGGGGTCACTTGCACAGGGCGAGTGTTCCCATCCCCTGTGCCTGTGGGAGCCAAAGATTGGGTCAACTCCAGGGAGGGGGATGGGAGCAGCTGGAAACTTTGCCCTCTCCACCTTGCCACCAGCTCCCAGCTGCCCAGCTCAATCTTTGGACAGGAAAAGGATCCTCTCTTCAGAAACTGCTTCAGGATCCTCTCCTTTTGGCTTCTGAAAAACATCAGTCTTGCCATTGGTCAAGACCGTCACTGGAACTGTGTGACCAGCTGCTCCTGGCAGCAGCGGTGGGAGAAAGGGCCAGTGACTGGGGCTGGAGGGCCGGGTCGCCTCAGGTACCATTCTGCTGCTAGTGCTGGGCAAGGATACCTTGTTACAAGCACTTCTAGCTCAGGGTTGTACTCTTTGGATTTCATCTGGACCAGGAAGTGCTGAAAAAACTGGAACAGCATTCCCAGAGAGAGGAAAAAAATGGGACCAAAAGGCCTCAGGTGGAAACTACGCAGGTTGTGCTCAGCCGGCAGCAGCTCTCAACCCGAGGGCTGCCAGCACCAGCAGGGTCCCCACACCTGGGCCTGCCCAGGGCACGGCTAAGGCTCCCTCGGAACCAGCCTTGACCTCTGGGCTGCCAGGGGCTCCCTCAGCGCAGGCGGAACAGACTTAAAGCCAAAATACAACTGGAGAGGGAGACTCTCGTTTTGCACAGTAGCCACCCTTCAAAGTGCCCGGTAGCTGCACTCAGGAATTGCTGCTCCAAGGTGTATTTTCAGCACAGGAGTTAACAGCGTGACTCCATTCCCCAGAAACGGGACCCATGTAATACGAACAGAAAATTAAGCACAGTTGTTCTTTAAGAGCCTTTTAAGTAATAATTCTTCCTGGCCAGAGCCAATACAAATCAGATCATCTAGACATGACATTTTCTATATACAAAAAACATGTAACTTTCAACCTTTCTCTGCTTTTGTATTTAAAAACTTTTTTTTTTTACAAACAAGGTATGAAACTCACTGTTCAAACAGAGCCATCTCTTTTTCAAACACTGAATGAATCATTCCAACATTCATTTTTCTTTTGTGCAATTTTTTAAAACATTACCTGTACTCCTCAATGTGAGTGCTTCAAAAAAAGTTTCTATTTTTTATAAGCTTCTCAAATTAGGTTTACATCAAAAAATATTCCCACAAGGTATAGTGCTACAAGAAAAGATCCTATCAGTAAAGGTAACACATCTGAAGCGAGGTCGTCTATGTAAAAGAAATTGAACTCTGGAGTAGAGGTGTGCAACGCGTTTGGAATTTCCCTATGGGCACAAAGCAAGGCTGTCCTCAGGACAGGGAGTCAAGTGGACATGTAGGCATACACATAAAAAAAATGCACACATAACTTCTTTGTGTGCAAACAGACACTTCTGCCTGGGGGTGTGTGTGCACATATGCATATCTGCATCAACAAATTCTCATTTTGCTATGTATTACAGGATTTGGGAGAGTGGGAGGGTTGGAAAAACCAGAGAAAAGGAAATTACTGCCTCCACTCCGGTGGCATGTTCCCCTTGCTTTTCACATCAACACTGGCCAGAGCTCACAGTGGACTCTGCTGCTACCTGTGATGATGGGGAGGGAAGAAATGGAAACTGTACGAGTGCATATCTCATTCTGCCATTTGTCAAGTTTCTGGGACAGGAGAAAGTGTTTCAATGGGCCAAATCCCCTCTACCTGCCCAAGGCTTCTGCCCTGGTCAACCCTGACATTTTTCCAACTGCCCAGTTAAGGCCAGGATCTGGCCCTGATTGAACCACGCTTCAGTTCCACAAAGATTTATCCATGTGCTTTACAGCAAGCCCCTGAGCAGCCTTTGCTGGCCAGCCCAGACCTCCCATGCACACAGGTATAAGCGTTTGCAGAACTGTGTCCCATGACATGCAGAGCATTGCACCAAGAGCCACTCTGAAACAACACTATTAGTGTTTAAAAAGATTGAGAATTCGCTCTCCTTGACGCAGGCTTTTTCTTTTTTTTTTTTTTTAAGTAGTTGCAAGAATTAACAGAATTTCACCATATCCTTTTTACTACTGGCAACACACTTTAAAGTAATATAAATCTCTGCAGAGAGTGTATTTTCATGGTAACCAACAGCTACAGTTCATGCTGACCCTGCTGCTTTTGTATTGCAATCTAAATGAGATCTACAAAGTTTAAACTATGAGATGCAGGAAATCCAAACTTGTCTGTAACATTGTACATCCCTACTCCAGAGCAGTAAAAGTGCTGCTTCTGGTCACATCAGTGTACCACACATACACCAGCCCCATCCCTGAGTAAAAGGTGTGAAAGGTTTCTAAATGTTCCTTGATTTAAGGGAAACAAGAGTAGTGATGTCACTTCCCCATGCTGAGAAAATGACGGGAACGACAGGTCGAATGAAGTGACAGTGGGACAAAGGAATTAAAGGAATGAAAAAAGGAACGTGTGTCCCTCCCCTCCTCCCGAGGTCTGCATTTTTGAGGGAAAGCAGGTCTAAGGGCAAGGTACAAAATGGTAGAATAGGTCAACAGCGACTCCGATTCGGGTCTCGATCAGAGGACTCGAGGTAAGTGACATCAAACTCAAATTCCCCACGATGTGGCCCAGACAAACTGAAACAATGCCTAAGTTAGACGCTATAAGGAACAGTCACTGTATATATAGAGATAGATAGATAGATAGATAGATAGATAAAAAGATAGATAGATAGATAGATAGATAGATAGACAGATTTTTTTAAGAAATCCCTATAAAGAGGTTCTTGTTTTATTTTTCTTTGCCCTGACTAATTTCTTGGTGATTGTATGCATTTCGTTGTAAACTAAAGAGGCCTGCTATAAAAGGAAAGGAACAAACAGACAAAAAGAAAACTGCTCTCAGTTACTATTGCAAAGTGGCCGCCACGCAGAGCAGGGGCAGAGCCTCCTCCTTTGGCTTGACCTCAGCATCCCCGTGATTGCAAGTGGTGTTTTGCACCTGCCCTGGGGATCGACGGCACTCCCGGGCCTGGGGCTGCACCACAAGGGATGCTCAGTGCCAGAGGGAAAGGCAAAGCCCTGCCTTGCAAAGGACTTGGCCCTGGTGGGAGCCAGCTCCTGTGTGCGTGTGCCCAGGCAGAAGGTGCCACTCGGCATATGGTGAGTGCCACCCTCTGCCTGGATGCCATGTAGACATGAATACATCTCTTTTTTTCCTTTTTTTTTTTTTCTTCCTGGATCTCTTTAAACAACAAATACAAAATGGGTTCGTGTTTCCCCGGGCAAGGAATCTTATACCCTTAATATGGTGCGGGTTTTTGGAGGGGGGAGGACAGGGAGGGACTTATTAAGGGGGGAGGGCAGGGAGAAAGGTAGAAAGAAGGAATTCAGAAGAGACAAAACCAGGGGAAATCAGAAGTGGGTATGAGATCTAGCTAACACCGCACAGGTGAGTCTAAGTTGGCACGTGAAGTATTGCACATCCTACAAAAGCTAAAGCATGGAAGGGGACAATTGTTTGGAAAGAACCAGTTATTTCAGAATTCCTCAGTCTGAAATACAAGCACAGAACTAATACATTCCTATTGCTCCAAATGTATTTTTTTATTATTTTTTTTTTTTAGTGTTAGTTGAATAGATCCAGTCAGTTTAATAGCCCCTGCTTCCTTATTGACCACAAATGTGTATGCGTATGGTTTTACTTGAGATTTCTTTTTTTCTAAGTACATGTGAAGTACAGAAATAGTGGTAAGACTGTGAACTAAAATCTGTAATTCTTTCTATTCCTTTACCATCAAAGCTTAAAAAAAAAACAGGAAACAAAACGAAACAATAAATTGCAAGTGCCCTGAGCAGAGTATATGGAAGATTAAGCAACTTCTCTGAGCAGAAATATTAACAAATAAGCAC